GAACCCAGGACCTCCGGGTGTGCAGCCGTACATGCTAGCCACTACACCACCGAGGCAGTTAACACACCGAGGCAGTTTTTCAAGAGACATAGTTGGGTTTACGTTCAGCTAGACTTCCATTCGCTCCTAAAGAACCCTATAACGATAAGATGAAAACATCATATGACTCAATTTCACAGATGACAGGAATACAATATATTTACAAGTATTTTTAACCGACTTCCAAGAAGGAGGAGGTTCTCAAATCGTCGGAATCTTTCTTTTTTTGTATGTTCACCGATTACTCGAAGACGCCTGAACCGATATGGAAATTTGTTTTTTTTTTCAAAGGGTGTATATAATTCCCAGGTGGTCCCATATAAATTTTATGGAAATCGGTCGAGCGATTTTTTTAAAAATCAACAATAAATATATTTTTTTTAATAAATTTTTTTAATCGAATATGTTATTAAAAAAACTTTCTTCTTACAAATTACCTGCTTATTACGTTAAACTGTTAATAAAACCGACTTCCAGGCACTAAAGTGTAAAAAATAACTAAACGGAGGTTTTCATTTAGAACAGGTACCTAATCAGATATTTTCGAAGTCGGTGCCAGCCGACAATATTTTAAGATATGAATATCTAATAGGTAAATATGTATTTTACGTATCGAAATATATTAGATTTGCTTTGCATCTACGTTAAAACGAAACCAACGAAAGAACCGACGAAAACGAAAGGGACGAACCCGACCGGACCGACGCGAGGGTGAGTCGCTAGTTTAATAATAAACTTTAGGGAGATAATTAAACTAAATATAAATTGTGACGCGTTATAATTTTGAATTAAATACTTTACATATAATCAAGTACGCAAAATAGGTAGATATATGTACATACATATATTTAAGGTCATAACTTGAATATTAATTTCCGTTTTCATTTATAAAAGTTAATAAAAAATACTTATTACCATTAGGTTGTACTTACACCATGTTACGTATATATAATAAATAAAAATGAATCACCAAAATGTATGTACACGCATAACTTCCGATCGACTGCACCAAATTGGATATTTCTTTTTTTTTTTGTTATTGTCAGGGCAAGTTTTGTATAGAAGAAAATTAAAAGAAAAAAATTTTTTTTTTACTAAAATAAGATTTTTGCCCTGGGAAGGACATAGGATACTTTTTATCCCGGAAATCATCCCTTAAGGAGGTGAAAATGGGGATGAAAGTTTGTATTGGGAATCAAGCAAGTGAAAATATAATCCCGGTAAATAACTTTTTTAATTGTCTACTTACTAGCAGTGCCCGGGGCCTAGCCTGCGTTTAAACTAGAGGAAAAGTGCTATGAAAGGGATAAGTTCAGAATGGGACAAATTTACGGCGCTAGGAACCAAGTAGTAGATTTTTATTTTCTAAATTCTTACAACATTTACTCAGTAACAATACGAGTTTTGACGTAAATATCATTTGGTTTTCAAAACAAAGAAAATAGCGAAGCGTTGGGGTAGGCGTGCCCCCCCCCCCCAACGTGCGTTCACCTTGTTGTGGTGGGGGGGCTCAGTAGTGCCCGGCAATCCAACCGGGCGCGAAGCTAAGAAACGCACAGGGAGGTTGCCCACTTCGGTGGGCGGTGGGAGGTGGCCCTCTCCGGGGGGCGGTGTACCATGCGGGTTGCTCCTGGTACTTCTCTGATAGCAGAGTGGACTGTGGAGCAACCCCATGGTTATGGTGGTCTGCTTCGGCAGACCTGCCGTCGGGGCTTCGTAGTTGAATGCGTAAGCGATCCTGCGACGCCCCATTAAGACGGGGAAAGGTTTTGTTGGGTTTTAGTGGGTAGTACTGGCTTTGCCGGTGAGTCCCACACGTCGTGCGTAAATGCATTTCCCAACGTTAAAAAAAAAAAAAAAGGCGTGGGGGGGGGCCGGGCGCGAAGCCAAGAAACGCACAGGGAGGTGGCTCACTTCGGTGAACGGTGTACCATTTGGGTCGCTCCTGGTACTTCCCTGATAGCAGAGTGGACTGTGGAGCAATCCCATTGTTATTGTGGTCTGCTTCGGCAGACCTACCGTCGGGGCCTCGTAGTTGAGTGCGTAAGCGATTAAGACGGGATTTTTTTTTGGGTTTTAGTGAGTAGTATTTAAGTCAGTTTTAATCGGTGAATCCCACATAACCACCTGTATGTTTACAGGTTGTATGCGTAAATGCATTTCCCAACATTTAAAAAAAAGGCCTTAACGCCTCATTAAGACCGGGGAGGCTCTGTTGGGTTTTAGTACTGGCTTCTCTAGCCGGTGAGTCTAATAATTAATATTATATAAGTATATAATTATAAATGTGAAATTGTGTTTGTTTGTTTGTCCTTCTTTCACGTCGAATCGGAGAGATGGATTGGCGTATATTTATGTATGGAGATAGTTGGAGGGCTGGAAATTGATATTGGCTATTTTTTACCGCGGGAGATTTTCTCTTTCCCACGGGAAAACACGTTATAATACAATCCAAAAAAATATTTATGATCAGAATTACTTGAAACTAGGTATTAATGCTCTTCAATAAATTATTTTTTTGAGATTCATCCCATAAGAGGGTAAAATAGGTAATAAAAGTTTGTATGAAACCTATCTTTTTAGAGCTTTTTTTTTGTAGTGTTTCGTATAGCCACGGGTTCTGCTATATATATATATATATATATATATATATATATATATATATATATATATATATATATATATATATAGATAATGTATAGAGAAGAAAACTTTTGTTTTTTTAATTCGTTTAAACGCGGATGAAGTTTGGATAATGCTTGTAATTCTAAAATCATAGATGTCATGTCTGTACATATATTGAATATTTTTTGTTTAATTCAATTCAATTGGTATTTGTCGTTATAAAAACGTCACATTTTATAGTATTGAAAATTTTAATATTAACTAAAATACCATCCAAATTTCCTACTTTTCCAAAAAAGTCTTTTATACATATTTATAATAATATGTATGTATGTATTTAAAGTTATATAATATGTGTAGTGTATCAAGTATCTGGTATCCATAACACAAGCCTCGTAGCTTACCATGGAACTAGACGGTGCTGTGTGTTATTGAGCCAATATATTTATATTTATTTATATTTATACAAACTTTGTGCTGAAAATTACGAACAAAGCGAAAAAAAAATCAGCCAAATCGGTCAAGTCGTTCTCTAGTGATCCTCCGTCGTTACGTACACGTGGTAATTAATTTTTAATATATGTATATATATGTACATAAGGGTCATTGGAGTGCTGTTAAGTACTTGATCTATTGACTAGTATATGAATAAATAATATCGGGACCTTACCATACAGCCAGGGCCGGATTTAACCTTAGCGTCGCCACTGGGCATTGTAAAAAATGCCGCCCTATTATCGAAATTTTGCATAAAATGGCTAAAGTTTTGATAAAGCTTGATCTTGTTAAATTAATAGTTTTTTGAAAAATGCAAAAAAATAATAATTATTATAAATGACTTCAATTTTTCGATGTGTTGTTTGTTCGAGCTATCTCAGAAACTACTGTACATATTTTCATACGGTTTTTATTAATAGGCTAGAAAGGTTTTAGTCTTATTTAAAAATATATTGGTAAAATATAAAAACTTTTTAACAAAAAAATAAAAACCGACTTCAAACAAAAGCACTAAAAAGTAAAAAATAACTGATTGGTAGTTTTCATTTACTACACATACCTAATCAAATATTTTCGAAGTCGGTGTGCTTTGCTTTGTATGGGCTGGCACCGATTTCGAAAATATATGATTAGGTATATATTTAATAGGTAGGCTTTAATTACTTAGCCAAAGCACACCGACTTCGACAATATTTGATTAGGTATGTATAGTAAATGAAAACTACCAATCAGTTATTTTTTACTTTTTAGTGCTTTTGTTTGAAGTCGGTTTTTATTTTTTTGTTAAAAAGTTTTTATTTTTCCCTTTTTAGTGTAGACAGTAGTAGCAAAGTAAGGATTCTAACGTGTTAGGCTTGTCAAATCAAACAAAATAAGCCCAAACTCAAAGTATCTACTATTAGCCGTTGAAGAGTTCCACCTATCCACCTTCTGGCCTTGCCATCAGATCAGATCAACAACACCGAACCACTGTACTATCAAAGGAAATAGAAATACTTGCAAAGTTTCAAGTCAATATGACAATTAGAAGTAGGTTAAATTCATCATTAGTTGTTTTTCCACCCTTAGGGGTGGTATTTTTTTTTTGAAATTTAAATGGGACCAATCTGGAAGTATACCCTTTCAAACAAAACAAAAATTGTCCAAATCGGTTAATAAATGACGGAGTTCTGAGGTAACAAACATAAAAAAAAAACATACAGTCGAATTGAGAACCTCCTCCTTTTTGAAGTCGGTTGAAAATGACGATATTTTTGTATTAAATTGGAGAAATAGTTGAATTTCTGTATATACGGAAAATCGTACATTAAGTAAAATAATATTAAAATTATGTCAATTACGTTACACGTCTGTGTTTTCGCACACATGCAATTCTCCGGCGCCTATAAATTGTTATTTTATTAGTTTATTATTTAGTGTGTCTTTGATTAATAAATCAGAACTATCACTCGTTGGGTTTTGTTTCGAACTTCACACCTCCAGGTAAATTTCTAAGTAATTTATTGTTAACTGACACGCCGGCGTGTCCGCAGTCGTTGAGGGCCCAATTTAAAAACTCCCAATACCTATTTATTAGTTTCTATGTGGCTTTTGTCGCTTTTGATGTGATTCTATTGGTGTTTTTCAACAGAGGGATTAACATTTCCCTCCTTCAGTCTCTAAACTGTTACACTACACACTGTAAATGCAAAGGGCATCAACGATTGCTAATAAAAATTATATAACGTAGGTACCTTAAATATTTTTTTTCATTGTTCTAGAACCAGCCATGAAGATGAAAGAATAAAATAGAAGAATAGCTGAGAAGTATTAGTTTGTGAATTGTCATAAGCATCGAGATGGCGTCGTGCCTTAGTGGCCATTTTGGGCCCAACCAAGACTACACCCCTGTGGCGGAGTTTTACGCTGATAAGTCGGTATTTGTGACCGGTGGTACCGGGTTTATGGGAAAGGTAAATATACATAATTACCAACTAGTAGACCTGTGTTCGACTGTTTTATAGTACCTAGCTGGCTAATTCTTTTTTAATTATCTCTCTTTCAATTCGACATTTTTCCAATATGGCGTATATATTCAGATTAAGGTAAAAAACAAGACTTTCTGAGTTTAAACTAAACAATAAGATTTTATTTAGATTGACCCGAGTAATGAGATATCACTAGACATAATTTAGTTAAATTCGGTTCAGTACTTTTTGCGTGAAACGCGAATACATTAGTTTTAATATAGGTACATATATAGATTAAAATGGAGTATTCTCATGTTGTCCATAATCCGAGTGATGTAGAATAATTGTGCCAATTTTTATCTAAAACCGTTTAATACTCGAACTTTTCGAGTAGTAACATAATTTTCTTTTATCTTTTAGCTATCCCATTAAACCAGTTATCACTTTTCCAATATAAATAAGTATATTTATCTCGTGTTTCGGAAACTCTGCATCGATATTACCGTTAAGTTTCATTAATATCAGTTTAGCGACAAGATTACAAGGAGACACTAGAATTAAAATCTTCATCTGAAAAGTTTTGTCTTAATCTGGTCGGATTTTTAGATGCACTTGGTTCACATGTGGTTTGCTTATATAATATTTTTCTTTTCAACAGGTGTTAGTAGAAAAGCTCTTAAGAAGCTGTCCGAAGATCAAGAAAATATATTTATTGATGAGGCCGAAACGCGGTCAAGATGTTGCCTCCCGTCTCACCGAACTTACACAATCACCAGTAAGTTATACACTTACTTTTTAGGGTTCCAAACTTTAAACGGAACCCGTAGAAGATTATCCTTTCGTCTCGTCTGTTTATCTGCCTATCCGTAATTATTTTCGCTTACACAATTTTAAGACATTATAAGTATATAATATATGTATACTGGCAGCCATTAGCTGCATTAAAAATGTGGTTCAGATTTATCTATCCTAATTTTTAAGACGGTTCAATATACCCGACACAATATCTCAGGGTTTAGTTATTTTGCTGCAGAATTGTCTAGGTGTTCATATGAGTATTTACTATTTACTTCATAAATGTCAACCGTATACCTCCCAAGTTTTCGAGTAAATGGGATCTGACATAAGGAAAGACGGACATAATGAAATTATAATTCCATTTTCGTTTTTTGGTAACGGAACCCTGAAAAAGTACCTGATGTCCAATACTTAAAAATTTCGTTAGAAGTTTCTTAAGAAGCGATTACGGAGTCCCACTATCCACCTCCTGGCTCCGTCGATCGCATTAGATCGATAATATCATATATGATACAAATCGATACGATGATAACAACGATGTTAAAATCTACTTCCAAGACTTGATTACATAGCCAGTTATAAAATCGTGCTAAAAAGATAATAAGGAAAATGTAAGAAAAGAACGCATTTCTTATCAGTGTTACCTCAATAGATTAGATTTCCGAAAAATACTCTTCTATTATAAATGAGAAAACTTGTATATGTGCGTGTATGTTTGTTAGTTCGTCACGCTGAAACGGCGGATGGATTTGTGCATAGATATAGTATGACTTTTTTTAACGTTGTTAAATGCATTTACGCGTACCACCTGTAGACATACAGGTGGTTATGTGGGACTCAGCGGCTAGAGAAAACATTACTACCTTTTTTTTTACGTTGGGAAATGCATTTACGCACGACGTGTGGGACTCACCGGCGTAATACAGCCAGTACTACCCACTAAAACCCAACAAAACCTTCCCCCGTCTTAAGGGGGCGTCGCAGGATCGCTTACGCATTCAACTACGACGCCCGACGGCAGTCTAGCCTAAGTAGACCACACAACCAAGGGGTTGCTCCCACGGTCCACTTTGCTGTCAGAGAAGTACCAGGAGTAACTCGCGTGGTACATCAAGCCCTTCCTAGTATGACAAAAAAACACGTCTGGAGCATGCTTTATGCATCCTATGACAGTTGGCACAACATTTCGAGAGAAAATACTAGAATTTAGACAAGAACAGTTAATTATAAATTGTCGTGTGTAAGAGTGAGAGAGGAAGAAAACATTCGAAATGACTAGAAAGGTTTTGAATTTTCGAATACTATAATATTCTTTGTTTATGCATATAAAAAGGCTACTAGTGTGTCGAGAGATCAGTTGAATTTCAAAATTAAGTGAAGTGTATCTATCTAGTGGTGAAAATTAAGTGTCCAGTTACTGATTTTAACCAGAACTGTCTAAATTCTGCGCGTGTTAGTGAACCTCCAAAAGTCACTCTCACTCTCTTAATTTCCGATCCCAGAACTCATAGAACGTAACAATATATTATGTATGTATGTATATACGAGTACTCAACGGTCATCTAGTGTGTGGGTGCTTTAAAACATATTAGAAGAGAGAGAGAGAGAAGAGTTACTAGTAGGTACTTCACAAAAGATCTAGAATATTCTTAGGTCTTGCTCATTTAGTACTTTTATGTACATAAAAGACCTCTTGACAACTGGAAAACTAGGTAAAATCGATATGTGAGTGTAATAAAAAACCCACTCACCGACCTCAATCACGCTACTTTTGTTAAAAACTACAACTAGCGATTATATTCATGATTTACAACTATTCAACACTATATTAAACTAACTATAATTTGATTTTAATGAAGCTCTTACGTCATGATAAAACTTAGTTTTATTTTATGCTTTCCGTTGACTATCGCGTACTGAAGTATCCCGTTAAAATGTCTCCGGGATGAAAAATATTCTAAATATTAAGTGTTGAGACTTGAGTTACTCTTGCAGTTGTTTTTGCGTACTGATATTATGAAGTTTTTGCCTTTTATATATAAACTAGCGACTCACCCTCGCTTCGACATCCGAATGTTTCCCAACACAAACTTGCATCCCCATTTTCACTCTCTTACGTGATGATTTCCGGGATAAAAAATATTCTATGTCCTTCCCAGGGCCTCAAACTATGTTCTTACCGAATCTCATCTAAATCGCTTCAGTAGATCCAGAGATCAACCCCTACAACGTCACAAACTCACAAACTTTACCTCTTTATAATATTAGTATAGACTAGCGGCTCACCCTCGCTTCGCTCGGGTTCGTCGCTAGGTACGTTTTAAATAGATATAAAAAGAAAAAATCTTTCTTTCTCACATTTTAATTATATGTTTTAATACTTACCTATTCCGGACTAAGAGAAATCCAAAAATTAAAATATCATAAAAATTGGAACGCGGTCGAACGGGATAAAAAGTATCCTATGTCCTTCTCCTGGCTCTAAACTACCTCCCTGCCAATTTTCAGCTAAATCGGTTCAGCCGTTCTTGAGTTATAAGCGAAGTAACTAACACGACTTTCTTTTATATATATAGATATAGATGAATTTGTTTAATGTATGTAATTGTATGTTTCTATACCAAATCCCATGGGACTTTCTTTTGTTAACATCAAAAGTTCTATTTATGGTTTATATTGTGCATAAAGAAAATAAGTTCCTGCTATGTAAAAAAAGAAAAAATCATATCGCGTCAAAAAGAAGGTGTGTGTGTGTGTGTGTTTGTGTAGGACAAAAGATGTGTTTCGTTTGCGATTTTTAGATATTTCCAATTACTATTGAATATTTATGTCCGCCTGACCGATTTCTTCAATCTCAGATTAGCCAAGTGTGATAGTGCAAAAGTGCTTGCACAGACATGAGTGCACTCTCTATTCGGATTTACGTGCTTTCCAAGGCACCGGGTTGAAATACCGCCAACACTTCGTACTGTTATTGAGGCTTTCGTGACAGAAAAACTCAGTAACTAAATTTTGCCCAACCCTAGAATCGAACCTGACCTGACCCCGAGATCCTGACCTCAGGATTTATGATCGTACGTGCTAACTATTAAACCACTAATGCAGTTTTTTATAAACTTCAAGAAAATATTCCAACACTAAGAGTATGAAATTTTAAATGACTGAAACCCATGTACGTTTTAAGTTGAAAAGTTATCATTATCTGTTATCTTTGTCCACAGCTTTTCGAAACTTTAAGGAAAGAACGGCCTCAAGAACTTAGTAAGATTGTACCAATAGTAGGCGATATTACCGAACCAGAATTAGGCATCAGTCCACCCGACCAAGCCATGTTATGTCAGAAGGTAAGATACACAAACAAACAAACATACGTATAGCATTAATGGATTTTATTCTAAAACACGAAAAATATAACTGCCGATAATGTATTGGCCATACAACCATGAGTCATATTTTTAAAGCTCGAGTTGAGAAAAATAATCTTTTTTTATGCCTGACTCTTAGGGCCTCATAAACAAGTTGGAAACCAAAATGAGATATGTGTAGTAACTTTTGTTTTTAACCGACTTCCGATTCCAAAAAGGAGGAGGTTCTCAATTCGTCGGAATCTTTTTTTTTATATATATATGTTCAACGATTACTCGAAGACGTCTGAACCGATTTGGATTTTTTTTTGTTTCAAAGTGTATACTTTCTAGTCGGTGCCAGCCTGCAATCAATAGGTAAATATTATGTATTTACCGTATCGAAATATATTAGATTTGCTTTGCCTTTGCATCAGCTGACGCCGACTTCGAAAATATCTCATTAGGTATCTATTCTAAATGAAAACATCCGTTTAGTTATTTTTTAAATTTTAGTGCCTCGAAGTCTGGTTTTTACTTTTTGTTAAAAAGTTTTTATAATACTTATAAGTAACTAAAAAGATTTTCACGATATATGAATTATTAACTATGAAACTGATTAAAGGTAGTAATTTTTTTTTAAATAGATTAAAAAAAATAATGTGAATTTCATATATTACTTCATTTCATATATTCCTGCAAAATTGTCTTATACTTATGTACTTTTCAACCGACTTCAAAAAGGAGGAGGTTCTCAATTCGACTGTATGTTTTTTTTTTTTTTTTTTTTTTTATGTTTGTTACCTCAGAACTCCGTCATTTATTAACCGATTTGGACAATTTTTGTTTTGTTTGAAAGGGTATACTTTCAGATTGGTCCCATTTAAATTTCAAAAAAAAATACCACCCCTAAGGGTGGAAAAACAACTAATAATGAATTTAACCTACTTCTAATTGTCATATTGACTTGAAACTTTGCAAGTATTTCTATTTTCGTTGATAGTACAGTGGTTAGGTGTTGTTGACCTGATCTGATAGCAAGGCCAGAAGGTGGATAGGTGGAACTCTTTAACGGCTAATAGTAGATACTTTGAGTTTGGGCTTATTTTGTTTGATTTGACAAGCCTAACACGTTAGAATCCTTACTTTGCTACTACTGTCTACACTAAAAAGAGAAAAATAAAAACTTTTTAACAAAAAAATAAAAACCGACTTCAAACAAAAGCACTAAAAAGTGAAAAATAACTGATTGGTAGTTTTCATTTACTATACATACCTAATCAAATATTTTCGAAGTCGGTGTGCTTTGGCTAAGTAATTAAAGCCTACCTATTAAATACATACCTAATCAAATATTTTCGAAATCGGTGCCAGCCCATACAAAGCAAAGCACACCGACTTCGAAAATATTTGATTAGGTATGTATAGTAAATGAAAACTACCAATCAGTTATTTTTCACTTTTTAGTGCTTTTGTTTGAAGTCGGTTTTTATTTTTTTGTTAAAAAGTTTTTATTTCCTTATACGATAAAAATATTGAAAAAGCATTATAGCCGTCTTATCGTAAGCAGTAATCGTAGTATATGTATGTACGTTTCCACCATCTAATGGTATTACTCCGTATTTTTCCCCCGACCAAGTAAGCGAGATCCCTTGTCCGTGGACGGCCGGCAAGGGTCCTAGATGGATTTTTTCAATGAAATCTTCTGTTAAAATCGTAAAATGTTATTTTAGAACTAGTTGTTTGAAAAGCTATTTAATGCTAAGATCATCATATTTTGACAGGTATCAGTAGTATTTCATTCGGCAGCGACGGTGAAGTTCGACGAGAAGCTAAAACTGTCCGTCACAATCAATATGCTGGGAACGCAACAGTTGGTGCAGCTGTGTCATCGTATGTTGGGTTTGGAGGTAAGTTTGATATACATACATACGTCGAGTGGCTAGCATGTACGGTTGTAGATCCTAAGATCTTGAGTTCGAATCTCGGTTAAGGTAAAATAGTTACTACTCAAGAAATTCTCAGTCGCAACCCCATATCTCATACTGAGGCTAGTGCACATATTATAGTGCACAAGCGACTTACCCTCGCCCCGCTCGGGTTCGTCCCTACTTACGTTTTCACTTTTAGTATAGATTTCTCAGAGATGAGATATTTTCCCGCAGTAAGAAGTATCCTATATGTTAACCCGGATAACCAACTATCACCATATCAAATTTCATCAAAATCCAGTGATTTTCTCGTGATGCGGTAACAGACAGACAGACAAAAATTCTAAAAACTATAGATTCAGCCTCTGTATCGATAATAAAGTCTATCTTAATAAGATTTTCCATATAATATTTAATATACAGATTCAGCTTGGTTACAATTTTATTATATGTATAGACAAGTATGAGCACAAACACTCGATCCGTCATACTTTGGTGGGACGACAATTCTGCGCGATCTATTAGAGATCAGGTCTTGACAGAAAATCCCAATGACTATAATATATTATCTCAGATCAAAACTTCCGAATCTATAGCCGTACATGCTAGCCACTAGAACAACGAGGTAATTTGAATAAATTTTGTGTTTTTTTAGTGATATATTTATTCTCCATCTGTGAATTAATTTTTATGATTATTTTTCAATGTTCTTTTACATCTCAAGCTTCTTCTCACTTATCATATAATGAAGTCATTCATAGATCACAAACTGAAATTTGGACAAGACGTCTTTCCGACTAGTTGTGGTTTGTGGTTGTACTCTTTCACCAGTTCTTCTCAGGTCTGAGGCTTCTTCTTTCCGAACTGGTAGTAGACTCGTGACGTTCAGTAAACAATTGTAATAATTTAATGCTGAATAAAAAATATATTTAGATTTTGATTTTTGTGTTTACTTAACATTAATGAGATTTTGAAGTTTTTTTTGTATATAGAACATTAATAAGTAGGTTTTATCTTTTTACAATGGATCTCTATTTATATATGTTTCTAAGCTGTCACTCTGCTACGAGAATACCGTGTGAATGCATAATGAAGCGTAGATTCGACACACTAGTGATTTGTAGTGCCTTTATCATACAATGTCGTTCAGCAAACTTCAGTAGCTGTGCTGATATATGTACTATATATACATATATATTTATTATATATACATATATATTTTGTTCTTTTCTCTAAATTTATTTTCTTTTTGTTGTGAGGAAGACAAGAAGAATGTAAAGGGATTTGTTCTTTAAATAAAACTATCTTTTCGGATTTTTTCGCGGATTTATTTAGATTTTGCGTTCCTGGAGTTCATGTTTCGTTCCGTCACGGGAGAGACTTTTGTTTTTTACTCGTATTTGTACTCGTATTTTACACGTTTAACCAACTGAACAGATTTCGATTTTTTAATCTGCATACGGTGCTAGCAAGAACTAGTTATCTATATATAAATAAGCAAAGACCAAACAGTTCAGTACCTTTTTTTCCTCTGTTTGTCAACCGATTTTCTTTTTTTAGGGTTTCGTAGCTCAAGAGAAAAAGAGGAAACCTTATAGGATCATTTCGTTTTCCGTTTGTCTGTTAAAACCCTATTTCTCAGAAACCCGTGGAGTAGTATCAAGTTGAAATTAATATCAAATACTCAAATCTGCAACCCCTTTTTTTTTTTTTTTTTAACGTTGGGAAATGCATTTACGCACGACGTGTGGGACTCACCGGCGTAATACAGCCAGTACTACCCACTAAAACCCAACAAAACCTTCCCCCGTCTTAATGGGACGTCGCAGGATCGCTTACGCATTCAACTACGACGCCCCGACGGCAGGTCTGCCGAAGCAGACCACAACAACCATGGGGCTGCTCCACGGTCCACTCTGCTATCAGAGAAGTACCAGGAGCAACCCGCAAGGTACACCGCCCCCCCCCCCCCAAGAGGGCCACCTCCCACCGCCCACCGAAGTGGGCAACCTCCTTGTGCGTTTCTTAGCTTTGCGCCCGGTTGGAATGCCGGGCACTACTAAGCCCCCCCACCACGACAAGGTGAACGCACGTCGGGGGGGAAATCTGCAACCCCTAGGGTTTGTGAAAAACTTAATCTTTTAAGTCAACGCAATCAAAAGATTTAGAAGACTGAAAATTATAAATTTGTAGTTACATCACAAAAAAAAAAAACTTTTGTTTCATGCTACGGAACCCTCGGTGTGCGAGTCGGACTCAAACTTGTCCCATTCTTTTATTTAGTATCAAAATCAAAATTATATTCAAATTTCGATAACTGGGAGAACACTATATATAATTTCAAACTTTCTTCTTTATATTGTAGTTGTGAACGTATTTTTGTTAGTGCGTTTCTTTTTTTTCACATCATCTAGTTTATAGGTCACGGAGTCATATAGACTACTTATTATTCTAGCACTTGAGTGGATGGTGAGTAATATTGTTAATGCAAAAGTTACTGAAGGGCTCAAGCGATATGAGAACGTTCTTGTTGCTCTACTATTATACATAATTGCGAAAGTATAGTGCGAAAATATGACACACAAACCTGTAGATGATGTATGGAGGCAGATGAAATGCCACTCCATCTTCTGGGAGGAGTGTGGACTTCTTGCACAAGCGCAGTATTCATCTTAAATAAATAAATAAATATATTGGGACATTAACACACAGCACCATCTAGTACCATGGTAAGCTATGGGGCTTGTGTTATGCTACTATCACTTGCTGTGCCAGCGGTCGCTGGTTCGAGTCCCGCTTGGGACATTCAATTTTGTACGATGAGCGCGAATGTTTGTACTCCAGTCATGAGTGTTTATATTTATAATATGTATATATTTAAAGTTATTTATACGTAGTGTATCAACTATCTGGTATCCATAACACAGGCCTCGTAGCTTACCATGGAAGTAGATGGTGATGTGTTAATGTCCCAACATATTTATTTATTTATTTAATGTATTCTATCTCATTCTCTTGCCGGCTTAATCTTATATATTTATGTGTTTGTCTCTTTCTAGTGTCGCATTTTCTTTTCATCGAGTTTCAAATCACAACGTTTGTAAAGAAGTTTCACTTAATTATTTCACAAAATGTGTGTATGTTTGTTAATCCTTGACGCCTCCTTGAAACAGCCGAATGGATTTGGATGACTACTTAAACTATGAACTGGAGAAACACCTCGACTATTATTAGTCACTTAGGGATTGCATCCGGCCAATGCGAGGGTGAAATGCTTGTCCATAATGATAGTGACTTTTAAACCAAAAATTCAGTTTCGTGATAAAAATTTTACGGGAAAGACGGTAACTAACAACAAAGTAAGATATTCTTTTCCTGACACTTATAATTTATTGGACGTCGCTAAGACCCTCTGGCGGGGTAAAGTGAAAAAAAAAAAAAAAAAGAAAAAAAAAGAAAAGATATTTGTCTCACTCGTAACCGTGGTTGTTGTAAAATATTCGAAACGTCGGGAATCAGAAACATAAGAATAGAATCCAAAACAATGATTTGTAGAATTTTTGTTTGTTTGTCTGTACGTTTGTGCACGTTAATCTCAGAAACGGCTTAACCGATTTAAGTGCGGTTTTCAGTAATGTATTGTGGTAAGCTTCACTTAAAAATTTAGTATTTGTAGTATTGTTTCATTTCAATAGGTTCATAAATAAAAAAAATATGTCAATCTAAAGAATCACCTTTGGACGATTCCGAGCGAAGCGTGGGTGAGTCGCCAGTAACTTATATGTGTATATGTATATCATTTCATTGTTTTAATCATAAAATATTCTAAGATGGCCTTAAAGAAAGTCGTTACACTGCAAAGAGACGCGACCGTGTAACAGGGTCGTGCACAACTCCAGTTCTATAATGGCGCATAAAATATTCAACGTACAAGTTTGCATCTTAAATTTTAATATTTTCCAAGCTTTTCTACCCATTTTGTTTATTGAACACCAGTGACTTGCCCTGGCTTTGTCTAGGATAGCATATATCTATCTAACGAGGTGTGCGTATGTTTGTTTGTTTTGTTAGCTTGATGGGTTCAGAAGAGATTTCGTTTAGGAGTAATATAGGTACATACATACAAACTTTTGTTTTATATTAGTAGTCGCATAAAATTCAGTTAGATACACAGCATTTTGTCAGATTTTATTGGCTTACTTAGTGCCTTGCCCAGATTCCTTCACTTCAGTCTTATTTCTAAGCCCATTTACGGAGTGACAAGTACCTATCGGTTAAATTCTGAAAAAAAACCTTTCTGAGAAAGATATTCTCATTCTCAGGGCGAAAATGTCGTTTTTTTATCTTTGATATTATAAATAACTAGCGACTCACCCTCGCTCCGTTCGGGTTCGTCCCTACTTACTTCTTAAAGGTGAGATATTTTCCCGCAGTAAAAAGTATCCTATATGTTGACGCGGATAACTAACTATCATCATACGAAATTTTATCAAAATCCCTTCAGTGGTTTTTCTGTGATGCGGTCACAGACAGACATACAGACAAAAATTCTAAACACTATAGATTCGGCCTCTGTATCGATAATACTGTCTATTTCAATAAGATTTTCCAAAAACTATTTAATGCACAGATTCGGCTCAGTTACAATTTTATTATATGTATAGATATTTAATAAAATGCGTGCGTTTAAACGTTCAATTCAATATAATATTCCACAATTTCATATTTCCGTCTCTTAAACTGCAGTTTTAAAATACCATCTGATGCGAAATGAAGCTACCACGACCTAATTCTATATAATGGATCGCATTTAAGTTCCGGGTCAGCATTCGTTTCTCTCATTTGAAGCAACTTCCACATAAGTTTAGCGCGTGGGCTCGATAATGCTGAGATTCGCAAAATTTTGCTTAATTTTTTTTTATTACTGTAACAATTTTTTATGTCTTAGTACTTCAGTATAATAATTTTAAATTAAAAATTGAAAAATACCCCTACACAAGTTTATTGCCATTATTAACTTACGAATGCACTTAATCGAGTAATCATACGCCAAAATGCCTTACATCATTTTGGAAACGAGCTGATACTCTTACACTGCTGGACCGATATTAACCACACATAGCTAGTATATTATATTATATATTACTTTAGTCTTCCATATCTTCAATCAAAAAGTTGTCTGGAACGATCAGCGATAAGGCCGCCATTTGTTCTTTATACTTCTCTTTTTTATTACACTGTCCTATCGTCCTTTTGTAATTCAGAGGGACTGCCATCAACTTTTATACAGCGATTTATTTCTGATGCAGTTCTTTCTAGGCTCTTTAACTATTTCGCTATTTGATTCGCTAGTTTTCGTACTATCAACAGTGTTTTAAGTTTATTTTAAGATATGAATATCAAATAGGTAAATATGTATTTTACGTGTCGAAATATATTAGATTTGCTTTGCATCGGCTGGCACCGACTTTGAAAATATCTGATTAGGTATCTATTGTAAATGAAAACCTCCGTTTAGTTATTTTTTACATTTTAGTGCCTGGAAATCGGTTTTTAAAAAAAAAGTTTTATTAATACGTAGACTCAGGCTAAAGAATTATATATACGGAGTCCGCCAAATAAAGATTAAAGTCAAAAATAGTAGCGTGTTTTGCAGTTTATTCTACCATTCTCGATTTTGCCATACATATCGTTTCTTTCGAGAATAAGGGGGATTTTATATAGGAATTAGTCGTTGATTTACAATATTTGAGAAGAATTAATGATAAACATATGTAATACTAAATTTCTTTTGTATTTTTTAAGCATGAGTTCTCTTAACTTGAAAGAGCGATTATTTTTCTTTATTATAATAAAATTCCGTTATGTATATGTATTTATTTATTAACATTTATGCACAGCAACAAAAGCAAAGAATATTCAATTAATATAATATTTTACGACACTTTTGTTTGGCTTCATGTTTAGTCTTATGACAATGTAATATTATACTTTACTTAGTCTGAGTAGAGAATCTATGTAAGATTAATTATAAATATCTAAGATTGCAAAAAATTATCCGTCTTGGCTTTGTCATTGTATTTGGTGAACAAAATTTGGCAAAATAAAAAACTATCAGCAATATGGTGCCCTAAAATATCACATTTTCGAGATATTATATTATAAAAATAAAGATCATTCTATGAAAATCAACGATAATCATTTAAAATGAATTAATTGCGCGTTAAAATGCTCTTGTTGTACTCATGTTGTGGTTTCCGTCATTCTCAAGTAAAAGTTATTAATAATATGCCAAAAACGTGATACTTTAGGGCACCATATTGCAGATATTTTTTATTTGTTTGAGTGCCCTAGATTCATACATACTAATTGTAATTATGTCGTGTGCCGTTACTTTAAATTAGAATTAATGAGGTGATATGTTAATGTCAGCTTCCATAGAAAATATTTGAACCCATTTAGCTTTCACAACCTCTTTGACCGTTTTAAGGGTTGAATTGCAAAATGATTAATTTACATGCTATCAAGGAAATAGGCTGTCAAAATTTCTAATGTATTAATGATGAAGGTTACGACTTAAATATAAAAAATAAATAAAAAAATATGTTGGGACATTAACACACAGCGCCATCTAGTTCCATGGTAAGCTACGAGGCTTGTGTTATGGATACCAGATAGTTGATACACTACACATATATAAATTTAAATACATACATACATGCTATAAATATAAGCACCCATGTCTGGAGTACAAACATTCATGCTCATCCCACAAATGAATGCCCCCAGCGGCACTCGAACCCGCGACCGCTGACATAGTTAGTAGGGTCACTACAAACTTGAGTCAAACGTGTCGTCAAACGCAACTTCGATTCTCGGCTTAAATAAGATAGTAAATTAAGATGCAATTTTGCCCACAGGCCTTAGTACACGTATCAACGGCATACTGCAACTGTGAAAGAGAACGAGTAGAAGAAACCGTGTATGCTCCCCCTGCACATCCTGCACACGTCGTCACGCTAGTCCAGACTTTACCAGATGACCTGGTGGACAGGATCACACCGGATTTAGTAGGTGAGTTTCCTTAGGGTTTTTTTGGGGTCTCTACTTACAAAGACACGAGATGCCCTATTGCTAACCCTTTACATTGTTGTTTCTACTTGTAAGTATAACTTTATAATCTTAAAAGGTTATTATATCTTGCCTTCGAATCATGACATGTGCATATATAGCATGTTGAATTAATACTGTATATATAAAGCGCATTTTTAAATACGCAAAGTAAAAAATATATAAAAGAAATAAATATTAAAAATAAAAAAACGATAGATTAAGGTTTAAATTAATTAAGTTTTGAATTATTATATGTATATGTACATATATAATATACGTATATCAGACAAACAAAATATGTGCATGCGTAATGTTGTATGTTATTATAAACTTCTCATATATTTCTTTATTAAATTTTTTTCAACACGATAAAAAAATATTTTTGTCAAAAAGAGAGGTAAAGTGTTTAAGCGAGAAGGAAGCTCCTGTAGATCATACAGTATTCTTGTGTACTAACAAATATTTTAAAAATCATTATTTTTTTACGTTTTCAACTCAAAACGAATCTATCCCAAATTTTCTAAATAGTATTCGATGTACAATGTCGCTTCACTTGCTACTTTATCACAGGTAAAGTTTAAAATCACTATCATATTAAGGCCTCTGACCTTATGCCTCGAAATGGTTTTTCGATCAACCGATTAGCCTACAAAGGTACATGGCTGGCGTTTAGCCAATATTCTTCTCACTGCAAATTCTGTAATGTTTATCCAACCTGAAACTTAGTTTAGATAGAGATAGATTTATCTAAATATATTATATGTATACTAACATTGCTTGCTGCTCCGCCCGTGTTCAGATGATCAAAAACCAAATTCTTAGGTTTTACATAATAGTATACTCTTACAATGCTGTTTTTGTATTTTTTCTCAGAAATGAGATTTTTCCCGCGGTAATAAGTATCCTATATGTTGACCCGGATAACCAGCTATCAGCATACCAAATTTCATCAAAATCCCTCCAGTGGTTTTTTTTGCGATGCGGTAACAGACAGACAGACAAAAATTCTAAAGACAATAGATTCGGCTTCTGTATCGACAATAATGTTTATTAAATAAGTGAGTGTTATTCAATAATATTTTCCAAAAAAATATTAATGTACAGATTCGGCTTAGTTTTAATTTTATTATATGCATAGACAAGCAATCAGCCTTCCTTTGGGTGTCTTGGACCCAAATTTTTTTTTTCTATTCTTAACCCCATGGGAACACTTCCCTTTCCTGCGTGAAAAGCGTTCTAGTAGGTACTTCTAGTGTCGCTTACAACTGAATCTCTTCATATTTATTTTGGTATACTTAGTCTGAGTCTGAGATTATAAGAAACATTCGCAGGAGCATGCAACATACAGTTTATTAACGGTGAATCTCCGTAACCTATCTATTTTTGATTCTTCTTACTAGAGATACGAATTTGACATATTTTGTATGGAGCTTCTATTAAATGTTTAACTTTACTAGAGAAAACCACAGATAAATAATTGAAATTCGCCGTAAAATAACTAACCAATGTTTATTAACCAAAGACAAATTCATACCCAGAAATAATTACGGAGATTCCATTTTAATATTTAAACTAGTGTTCTAGGGCCATCCCTAGGTACGTTTTAAAAGATAGTACGGACTCGTTGTAGTAGTAGTAAAAAGTAGCCTATGTCACTCTCCAGCCCTCCAAATATCTCCACAGAAAAAATCACGCCAATCCGTCATTCTGTTTCGATGTGTTTCCATAAATGCATTCAATAGTATATTAATATTAAGGTTGCGTTCATAATTAAAGTAAAGAAAAATCCGTGTATTTTTTCCAATTTTTCTATTCATAAGAACCTTCCTCGGACTTAACGAATATTTGAAAAAAAATATATTTGCCGAATTGGTCCAACCGTTCTGGAGTTTTGCGTTTAACAATGTATTTAGCCATTAATTTTTATTTATAAGATATTTTGCAATTTTACAGGTGACAGGCCGAATACTTACACTTTCACGAAGGCATTAGCAGAGGACATGCTGATAAAAGAATGTGGAAACCTACCCGTAGCCATCGTCAGACCATCCATCGGTGAGTTGGTAATTTTTAGTATAAAATAAATAAATGGGTTTATCGCGCACACTAAAGAAGAGTACAAAAGATGAAAAGAAAAATAACAAAAAATCATGCAAAGGCGGTCTTATTGCTATAAGCAATCTCTTACATACTACCTTTGATGAAAATAGTAGAAAATATTGATAGTTGTATACTAAACTAGCTGCCCCGACAGAGCTGTTTCTGTCAAATTAAGTGGCCCAGTAGCAGATCCGATTAGAAAAATGATGTTTTTACATTTTTCCGGGCATTTTTTCCATTTTTTCTCTTCATAAGAACCTTCCTCGGACTTTTGCGAATATTTGAATAAAATAAAAATAGCTGAATTAGTCCAGTGGTTCTCAAGTTTTGCGCTTAGCAACACATTTAGCTATTCATTTTTATTTATATAGATTTGGTAGTATTCAGTAGAATATGATGAGCATATGTGAAAGGGAATGATGTGATTTTTTTAATGTTATTTCATGGGTAACAAGAGAGGAGTAAGTCATTAAAATATGGTAATTTTTTACATTTATTCTTATAGCTCTAGAGTGTACGTGTTGTTAATCTTGTTATAATTTAAGACAATGTAATTAAATATTTTACTTAAAGTATATATTAATGTAAAATTTTATGAACATTTTGTTAAATCTAAGACTTGTGATTTCATTTTAATTACTTTAAAAAAACATGTTTTTAAATTTAAATATTATATTTGAAGACATTTAATGCTGTTCTTAAAGTATTGCTTACAAAGATTTTTTACAAGTTGAGAGAAAATATACGGCAGGTATATTAGTGACTGTGATATAAATGTGAAAATTTATCTATGACGACACGTTTGGCTATATGTATAAGGAAATAACTAATACACACACACACACACACATATATATATATATATATATATATATATATATATATATATATATGTGTGTGTGTGTGTATATATATATATATGTGTGTATATATATATATATATATGTATTAGTCATTTCCTTATGTACATGTATTGTAAATATTTTGTTTTCGCTTGCTCATTCTTAAATGATAAAAGATAAGAAAAAATATTCCTGGGAAGTGTTTCGACAGTGACAAATCGCTGTCTCATAATCGATTTTATCGATTTCACCAGATTGCAGTAGATAATTTTAGTTTAGTGCTATAAAAAATCTTTATTTTGCCACGTTACGATTTTTTGGTATCTATATATATATATATATATATATATATATATATATATATATATATATATATATATGTAGATAATATTCCAAAAAATTATTTATAAGATTGGCAGTATGATCTATGACAGCCTATTTTGGTGCGATTGGTTTTTTTTATGTATGTACACCGATTACGCTGAAATTTATGATCCGATATACGTGATTCTTTTTTAGTTTGATGCGGAATAGTTGCAATTTGGTCCCATAAAAAATTAACATACTTTGGTCCACTAGTTTTCATTTTATGAACATTTTTATTTATGATGTGTAACGTCTTTAAAATCACGTATAAACATACGGGTACCAGGTCAAAAAGTGGACCGTAATGAAATAGGTTGCCATAGTAACCGTTGTTATTTTCTGACAAATGATATATGTATATCATATTCTTTCCGTTGCTGTCTTCAAATGTCACTATTTTAATTTATTTGTTTTCAATTATGCAAAATATTTTTAAAAAGCAAAAATATCAAAAGCGACTCGTTTAAACCAACGGCTGTGTGCCCCGACACAGATACACGGTCCCACCCAATACTTTTTTATATTCTTACCAAAATGTACCTACAACGTTCATACACCGACCTCTTCACCTTAAACCTTATCACGCTTAAATCTTTGAACCGATGTTGATGAAAACTAGCCAAGACATGATGTTCTCCTGACCGATTCCAGCCACGGCGGCCAATCTCATTGAGACTAGCCAACTGCGCAGGAGATATTATAGTGCACAAGTGTACGCGCAGACACAACGTGCACTCTCTATTCCTGTCACTCTCTTACTCCGGTGGGACGACCACTCGACACGACCAGTGAGAGTTAAGGCGCAGGACCGACGGCTTCACGTGCTCTCCGAGGCACGGGGGTGAAACATCGCCAACTTCTCAACTTCGGGTTGTTACTGAGGCTAACTATACAGAAAGACTCAACAACTAAACTTGGCCCGACCCCGGACTCGAACCCAGGACCTCCGGGTGTGCAACCATACTTGCTAGCCACTACACCACAGAGGCAGGCAGAGGGAGCCAAGACATACATTTCATCATGGGAACGGACGCACCCAGAGTACCTTTTTATCTTTGCCCCGCCTTTTATGTAAGCGGAACCGCAGCTAAAAATGTTATATAGCGTTATAGAGTAAATGGTCTCCATTCATAAGCCATACAGGTTTTTGGCAGAAGAAATCGAACAGTGAATAATTCATTTGATTGTTTATTTTACTACAGTGTATTGTTATACTTAAAAGATTACTATGAGAATGATATTTATAAACGAAATTCCTTTTTTTGCTTGTTGATAAATGATGCAAAGTATAGACATAAACTTATATTGTCTGTCTTTGACAATGAACAGTTATTTATACATATTAAAAGCAAAAATAAACAACAGAAATAATAGGTAATTCATTACTGAAAATAGGAAAAGTACTAAAGGGGTACTGATTTTTTAATAGATTGTTATTTACTTTATTTATTTATTTAAGGTCTACCAGCAGTTTTACAATTGTTTAATTCTAGTACTATATAAAATTGGTAAATTGTAAATCTATATTAAGGTGAACACAACATGCTAACGTTAATTAAAAACGATATTAAAAATGAATAAACAAATATCTTTAGTTATCATCAAAAACAAGGATTCCACGGTATATTGTTAAAAATTACATAAATATTCCTCATTTATAGGTTGGGCTAAGATCATTTAGTCCCCCCCCAACGTGCGTTCACCTTGTCGTGGTGGGGGGGCTCAGTAGTAGTAGCGAAGCTAAGAAACGCACAGGGAGGTTGCCCACTTCGGTGGGCGGTGGGAGGTGGCCCTCTTCGGGAGGCGGTGTACCTTGCGGGTTGCTCCTGGTACTTCTCTGATAGCAGAGTGGACCTTGGAGCAACCCCATGGTTGTGGTGGTCTGCTTTGGCAGACCTGCCGTCGGGGCCTCGTAGTTGAATGCGTAAGCGATCCTGCGACGCCCCATTAAGACGGGGGAAGGTTTGTTGGGTTTTAGTGGGTAGTACTGGCTGTATTACGCCGGTGAGTCCCACACGTCGTGCGTAAATGCATTTCCCAACGTTAAAAAAAAAAAGATCATTTAGTGGATTCTTCTGTCGAAAATTCTCAGTAGGCCACCAAAGTTAGTAAATTGACGATTTCATACCCTCGAACCTCGTATAGCATTCAGTCTTTCACCTGATCTCTCACAGGTCATATCGTATTTCCGTGCTATTGGATTATCATAGTTAAAGAAATAAACAGTATCTTCTGCGCCGATAGTAGTATCGGTCATATTGGAATTCGCCTTGCCGGAAATTAGGTCAGATGGACTTCATTTGTAATGATAATACTAATAATACTCTTAGACTTTATGAATATTTGATATTTTAAAATAAAACTATCTTTTCGGATTTTGTCGCGGATTTATTTAGGTTTTTGATGATCATGGTCACGGGAGAGACTAAGGTTTTATATGTCTCAAAGGTGATATATAGTTGTTACAGACAGCATCCACCCACAAATTTATACAATGATTTTCAAAAATATCAAAATGGCACCAAAATACCTTATCTACGATTAATTTTGTGTTTTATTAATTTTTAATTTTAATTTCCTTAAGTCTCTCCCGTGACTATGATTATAGCAGAGCATTCCAAACATTTCAAAGCTACAAAAAATTAAAAATAAACCCGCCACAAAATCCGAAAATATTGTTTTATTTTAAAATGATAATAATATTAATTATAATCAAACATCTTTGTCACCAGTTCTCTCCTCTGTTCGGGAGCCGGTCAAAGGATGGGTGGACAACTGGAACGGTCCGAACGGCATCATAGCAGCCGTCGGTAAGGGTATCTTCCGCACCATGCTGGGCACCGGCACGCGGGTAGCAGATTTGGTTCCCGTTGATACAGTTATCAATCTTATGATTGTTTGCGCTTGGCGGACCCATTTGAGACGGTGAGTGGGATTAACGTAACTAATTTTTAGGGTCAACCAACTGAATGACGCGTATTGAATAAAAACTTTTTTTTTTAAATAAAATCGACTTCCAGGCACTAAAATGTAAAAAATAACTAAACGGGGATTTTCATTTAGAATAGATACCTAATCAGATATTTTCGAAGTTGGTGCCAGCCGACGCATAGGAAATCTAATATATTTTGATACGTAAAATACATATTTACCTATTAGATATTCATATCTTAAAATATTGTCCGCTGTAGGTTATAGAAAAGTTTAATTAAATTTGAAAAATACAATGTTTGTCCGGTAAGCTAGTATACAATAAGTTTTTAACTGTCTTGTCTAACTGTTACAGGGGCGATGGTGTCTTAGTCTATAATTGCTGCACCGGCCAACAGAACCCTATTACGTGGCAGCGCTTCGTGAAAACCAGCTTCAAATATATGAGAAAACATCCCTTTAGTGAGTTTTGGAAAATCCTATACAGTATTAATTTGACCATTGGAAAAACTATATTTCATATGAGATATCTTAGTGTGGAGAGTTATAATTTGAGTGAAAAAGACATAAAGAATTTGTCAAGACAGAGATAAGAACTTTTTTGGCATCGTTAACCTTTTTTTTCAACGTTGGGAAATGCACGAGGTGTGGGACTCACCGGCAAAGCCAGTACTACCCACCAAAACCCAACGGAACCTCCCCCGCCTTAATGGGGCGTCACAGGATCGCTTACGCATTCAACTACGACGATCCGACGGCAGGTTTGTCGAAGCAGACCACAACAATCATGGGGTTGCTTCATAGTCCACTCTTTTATTAGAGAAGTACCAGGAGCAACCCGCATAACACGTCGCCCAACGAAGTGTGCCATCTACCAGTGCGTTTCTTGGGTTCGCTGCCTGCAATACTCTTTTTTCTAAATTTGCGGCACAACAACACGTATAAATATGAATAGAAAACATTTAAAAAAATAAAACATCAACATGGTGCCATCAAGTGTCACCGCCATATGATGATGGCAATCATTAAAAATGAACTGATTACTTGTAGTATGCATTTGCTGTATTAATTATTGTAATAATTTCCATAATTATCATTCTTAAGCAATTTTTACTTCAAAGTACCTTGGAAACGTGACACCTTAGATTAGAGCACCATATTGTAATTTTATTGCACCAATTATATGGTACATACCTATCTAATTATCTTTAGGACAACCACATTGCTAATATTTTTGTACCATTATAATCTACCAATTATATCGAGTGTTGCTACTTTCAAAAATAAAAAGAAATATCAGTGGATCGCTAACGCCAGCCTAATAAAAAATGTCGAACCTCTTTCTCGCCTAAATAGGTAGCTTCAGTAAAGTAGGAAGCCAAAATGGAATAAAATAGGCATAACTAGGAAAGTATTTAATAGTATTAATGACGATTTCAGGCGAAGTCGTCTGGTACCCTGGCGGCGACATAACTAACAATCGCCTGAAACACAATACCCTGTCGCTGCTGCAGCACAGAGCGCCGGCTGTGTTTATCGACTTTGTTTCCAAGTTATCTGGCAATAAACCTATGTGAGTACTCTGTATTCTGGTCAAGCCTGCGGTTTCATGCTTAGTCACCGATTTGTGCTTAAAATATTTCTTTCCAATTCGACATAGAAGCGTCACATCTCATACTTGATTTTTGAGAACTTGGACTATCTACAGTTAGGAAAAAATACATTTCTGTTCAGAAGAATCTATACAAGAATCTTAATGACACCTACGTATATTTATATATTATGTATGTATAATGATTAATGATGATTGCACCAATATTATAAAAAATAGAACTTACATCCCTTCATCTAACGAATTCTTATTCTAAACAACCAACAGGATGATGCGGGTTCAAAACAAACTCGAACAGGCGTCGGCCTGTCTCGAATACTTCACAACTCGTCAATGGTCGTTCCCAGACGATAATGTGCGAGAACTTTGCTCGTTTCTATCCCCCGAAGACAGGAACACTTTCGACTTCGACGTAACGAATATAGATTGGGACGCGTACATCGAATCGTATGTCCTCGGGATCAGAAGGTTTTTGTTCAAAGAAAGTCCGGAAACGTTGCCCAAGTCTAGGAAAATACTACGGAGGTGAGTGACTTTATTATCACTCTGTTTCACGTAATAAAAGTCGAGAGAAAATAGGATAAAATATACCGTTAATATTTAAGCAGTTTATTTTCGTTTTGTCACGCAAGAGAACAGCTCTTTCCATAGTCCATACAATATCTACAGAATTCACTTTTTGGGATTTTTTTATTGTTATTTTATAAGACGTTGTTAGACCTATTAGCTATTTTAATAAAATTAATGGAATGTAAATTAAAAAAAAATGTTAAGTCTTGCTGTACTTTATTTAGTCATTTCTGAACTTAAGTATTGTGTTTTAAGGATGTTTTATTTGTTTTATCATTAAACTAATGTTTCTTTTCTCTTTGACAGGTTACATATAGTGCACATTCTAACTCAAGTGGTTGCTGTGTTCTTCCTTTGGAGATTTTTATTCAGTCGTTCCAACGCGTTACGGAATATATGGTGTCGGATTGTCGACTTCTTAACTAGGGCTGCAAGATTGTTGGCCATCGCCTGATGTTATGAAAAACATTTAAAAAATATCACATACAACCTAGGAACGCTTCCAAAAACCCTCTTTTGACGTTTCTTCCTTTCACGCTACGTTAATGGCGTAACACCAATAGTTAAGTTTAGTTCGTTTAAGCTTCACGGAGCTGTTGGATTGCGTCGCGGTTTACATTTCGACTGCCAGTTATTTTGACTTTGACAGCTGCGTTGACAGTGGTACATTGATGGTGTCATTTGTCAAATGTCTGTGTCAAGTTTCAAGTTGACTGCTTCCTGCATGTGTCAAGATGACAGTTTTGAAGGCGGGTTCCGATTTACGGACGGTAGGCGATAGTTTTTAATGAAATGTTAATGATTCCGAACGTTTTATACCGCAGCTCAATGATTTACCGAAAACGATAGAGTTCAAAACGCATAGCTATAAACACGCATAGCGAAGCAATGGCCGCTACTAAAGTTACAAAATAGTTGACTGCCTTATTTTAAAATGTGAATTAGTACAACATAGCGACCTCTTTGCAATCATTTGTGTGTGAAAGAGAAAAATATTCAAACTATTGCTATGTGTAAAAGGAAAAAATCTATTTCAAGTTAATTTCTGCCAATTTAGCTAATTGTTTGAGCATATTGTGGGTATTGTTTCATTTTGTCAGTTTTGCTGAAACCTTACCCCTTTCTACCATCCGTTCTCCAAAATTTGAATGATTCTAGAAGACTTGTGAAACATTGCTAGTGTAATATTAGAAAATTTATTTATAAAAAAATGTTAGTGAAAATTTTCCATGGTTCTTTTTCTATTAATTGGAAACAAACGCTCAAAATTTTAGCAGTTAAAATGTTATCAAGTAATAAATAATTCCAAATGTTATTGTTTGTATATAAATTTGGCATATTAGAAAAATAGGAAAAATATTATATGATTTTTTATAGTGTGGCAACACTCTTAAAAATAGCTTTTATAATTTTGTGTGATTAAAAGATATTAAGCTTTTGCATTTAAAATGCAAAAGTTCGATTTGTATTGTAGCTTTGAATTTCTTTATTTAAAAGAAATGATAAAGATGCAGTGAATAATGAACTGGAAAGTTTTAAACGATTTTAATGAAATTTATTAAAACAATATTTCATTAAAGTAAATAACTTTGCAAAATAACCATTTGTATAATGGAAATTCTATTTAGGAGCCAACGTTTAATGTCAAAAAAAAAAATGTAGTTGTAACATTAAACGACATTAGAAACTCACCAAAGCTCCTAATTCATATAATATCATTAATTCTAATAATTTAGTCCCAAAATTAGACCATAATTTTTAATGGGCACTAAATTTATTTTAATGTTGCCTTTAAAAACTGTCATTTAAAAAGTTTTTTTGATATTAGAAATTAAATATGGCATTTCCCGCCATTCTGTTTTTGTTCCATTTCATGACGCTTCCTTAGTAATAGTTATATGGTAAGGTATTTGTTTTGTTTGAAAAATAACTTATTCATTTCCAAGTTTATTTATTTCGATTTAACGCTAGAGATAATTCAATAATTAAATATCTTAGACGACATCGTACTAACATAGACGTTGAGATTTTTTATGGAATGAATTAACAAATTTTTGGTAATAGACGTTACGATGAATAGCTTCATGGGGTTTTTTTAAAGTTATAAATTCTCCTAAAGTTTTTAATGAAGATATTTGTTGTTCATAAAACAATTATGACGCCATTTTTTCATAAAATATTCTTCAGTAGCAGTCTTCCGTTTTTTATCGGATTTGTAATTTTTGTAAAATTATATTGTCATGAAATAAATCGTACAAAAATCTGTTATTCGACATTTTTAAAGTGCAGAATGCAAACGATTAGTATAATATTTTAAATCGATTTTCACATTTACTATATAATCTGTTGAAACATAAAACTATTGATATTTAAGATTGAAAAATGTGTTAAACGATTTATTTCATAATAATATTGTTTAAAGCTTCCATTATTTGATTAGGCGAATAAATTTTCTATCTCAATCTAAGCTAGAAGTGGATATAGTTGAAAGGTCACGTGGCCATAGATTTTTGTCAGTTGAATAGTAAATACTAGATTCGAAAACTTAAAATGTCGTTACTTTAACAAACATAAAATACCCACACGATATTGTAAGCTGTACGTACCTACTGTTAAGTAATGCCTAAGTTTTTTTGTAATTGAACTAAATGCTATGGAACGTAAGATGTTTGTTAAAGCGAAAATAATTATAATTTTCTGTTTTCTCTTCAATTATGTAACTTTAAAACCATTTTTTTAAAATAGTTTCTAAAAAAAATTAAAAATTGCACCAAATGTAAAGCAATATGGCGTTTTTAATGTCACATTTTTTTTTAATTCGTCCTGCTGTCTATAGTATTTGGTTCTACATATTAAGCCTAACGCATGCTTTCAATCTCGGACTGTCGCGGTGTCAGTGTTTTTCGTCTGTTTGCAACGCGTACACAAACTTAGCTGCCATTAATTTTAATCGATTTACACGGATTGAATCGATATTAGAAAACGATTGGATTCTTCACATTTTCGAGCTTCCGGTTTGTTTGTTCTTTCGAAATCATAAAAAATTACTGCCAATGTTATCTTTACAAATTTTTTTTTGCCACATTAACCTCAGATAGATGAAGCCGGGAGTGCATTTTAAATCGAAACATGAAGAACCGTCAGTGTTATATAATTATTAAGTTAGATATTGTTATACGTTTTTTGCGTGAGGTCAAACGTCCCGAGATACATCGCATCGCGCTTGGCTCTAATAACATAGTGTATAAAAATGATTCCTAAACGAGAGTTTGTAATTTCATTTCTTGCTTGTAAGTATATATATGTAAATTTTGAAAAAAAAAACCTAAATAAAAACTTATTATGTCTTTCTGTTTGGTTAGTATTATGCTTTTTGTATTGCGAGTACGTGCAAATATTGTTGTGTATATAGAATTTAGTTACCCAAAGAATCCATATAATGCGGAATTACGTTTGGAATTTTCGTATGTAGACATTTGAAGTGTGTAAAACCGGCTCCTCGACGAGCATTCGCCACGCTGATATTATAACGTAACTCAATTTCACTTATAAATACAATACGATGCTTATTAAATGTAATATAAGTAATGTTTACTGTAAAAATCAATTATGACTAAGTAATTACTAATTAATGGCGTTCCCGCCAAAACAAGATGGCGGATGTTCGTTTAGAAACCGCGAGTGAAAATGCTTTAATATAAAATTTATTTCGCTTAGATGCCGATGGTTTATGATAATGGCATGGGAATCCGTAAAATCGATGAATTGTTAATTTAGTGATGGATGATAAATGCTCAACGATTGATAGTCCCAGTCTCGATTTAGTTAGGCCGAAACAAACGGCCCTATTATGTAACAGATGATATAATACCAAATATGTCATATACCTATACTTATCAATTTATTAAGACAGTCTGACTGTTAGTTAAACTTAGGTCTTTGAACATACGTTGTGTAACATTTATCATATCGTTTAATGTAATTTTTCAAGGAATAAATTGTTATGATAAAAAGAGAACAATACCTAGCTAAAGCGAGACAGGGATTGTCCGAATGCAGCCAACGTGTCTCGGTGATAGGACGGTATATACATGGGGGGTTAATTTATTATTCCATATATTAAAATAAAAGAATGTAAAGTTTGCCATGTTTTATTTACTTTCCTTATTATATATGTCTTTCTTACTCAAGAATCGTATTCGCACTCAATCCTCATACGTGTGTATACTGTATATGTTGTCTATATGAGACCATCGTCTTAGCATTTCTGCTTGTTTTTATGTGTGTACAGATAGGAAAATAATTTTAAAATTCGCTAAGGAATATAATGCCCAATCCTAAGAAAGTGGTTTTATGACCGCTATACTGTCTCAATTTTTTATATTAGTTTGCTAACTTTAGATACTACAATGTATTATATATATAAAAAAATCGTTCAATTTATTTCTATTTCCTTAGTTTCATGGAAATCCAAAGATTATTCTAGAAATTAAAAATAAAAAAAGGCAAAAACCGAGTTTTTTGCAAATATCTCGAAAACTTTGAGATTATTGTAAAAAGTGTTATTTATAAAAGTTGTAGATTTCTACTAAACCTACAACTTTTGTACAAAACATTTTTCGATAGAACGTCACAGTAAAGCGGAAATTGAAAAAATATATATTTTTCAACGCTTTGCGTCCCGCCATTTCTCGGGGGTAGCTGGCCATAGGGGGCATTTACGAATTTGAATTCCTTGTATACCTACTAACATTTTAAAATCATAAAACTTCAGGTTTTCAATATATATTTTTTCTCTTAAAGGTTCCGATTGGTCTATTAGTAGGAAAAGGTGTGACGTTTCACGCTTTGTGACATCAAATAAATTCAATATACGAGTACGTCTTAATAAGTTTCACTCAAAAAATCACGCTCAGGCAGAGATGAGCGGGTTGAAATATGCGGGGCCCCCTTTTGCGCGGGGCCCGTAGCAATTGGTACTCTTCCTATGTGGTTAATCCGGCACTGCTCATACCATCTGTTACCTATATCTTAATAGACATCATATTCATAGATGGCGCTGTTTTCAATTTAGGAAATATTGAATCTGACCATAAACAATATGCATGTAGCCTTTGAGGCATTAACAACTTCCGCCATTTTATTTTTTTTCATAACTTGTGGCATAGTGTTACAAAAATAATTAAAACAATAAAAACATAACATCTATACATATAATAAAATTCTAAGTCGAATATTATGTACATTAAATATTGGAAAATCTTATTGAAATAGTTATTATTATATATAGGTACCGAGGCCGAGGCCGAATGTATAGTTTTTAGAATTTTCTTCTGTCTGTCGGTCTGTCTGAGAACGCATCACGAGAAAACCGCTGGACAGATTTTGAAGAAATTTAGTATGATGATAGCTCGCTATCCGGATCAACATATAGGATACTTTTTACTACAGAAAAATATCTGATCCAACCAAGAGTCGCTAGTAGTTTATATTTGTGTTATAGAAATAACAAATAAAGTTGAACACACAATTAAATAATACGACTTGTCACTGTAATAATAATTATTTTATTTAAATAGTAAAAAGTGCATCAGTGCATGATATAAAAACACTACATAAATGAATAAAGTTTTATTGTACTTTATTTAGATATAATTAATCAGTAATAACTCCACCCGTCGGAACTTCTTCCTCTTTAGGCTGAGAATCTTCATACTCATGCTCTATGTATCTTAAAATAAAAAAAAAATCAAGTTTCACAGATTTCAAAATAAATGGACTATTCTTGTTTAATTGTAGTTTTTTTGGGATATCAACACACAGCGCCATCTAGTTCCATGACAAGCTACGAGACTTGTGTTATGGATACTAGATAGTTGATACACTACACATATATAACTTTAAATACATATTTACTATAAAATGTATAAATACCCATGACTGGAGTACAAACAACCGTGCTCATCACACAAATGAATGTCCCTAACGGGACTCGAACCCGCGGTTGCTGGCACAGCAAGTAAGGTCACTATAAACTGAGCCAAACGTGTCGTCAATGGTTTCCTCGCTTGGTTAGGAGTTCTGTGAAATTCTTCATCAATATCTGTTCAGCGGTTTTAGTGTTAAATGGTAACAAACAGAGATACTGATTGTTGTTTTATCTCTCTAATTATGGCGGTGAAAAATTATTAATCTGTACATATAAATAAAATTCTGAGTCGAATCTGTAGCTACATTAAATATTTTTTGAAAAATCTCATAGAATAGTCATTATAATCGATACCGAGGCCATGTCTATAGTTTTTAGAATTTTTGTCTGTCTGTCTATCATGTCAAGTGGTATGATGATAGCTGGTTATTCGGGTCAACATATAGGATACTTTTTTCTACAGGAAAATATCTATCTCTGAGAAAAAAAAGAAAATGATATACAATTAACGCACGGTCATTATAAAGTTTGTATTTAAATTAATATTAAGTTCTTCCCCAAGAGAAGTGTCAAACTCATGCTAACATGAACAAGCCTCTCCACCATTTAACCTCGCTTCGCTCGGGTTGGCCCCTAGCTTGCTTCCCAATACAAACTTTCATCCCCATAAGGAAGAATTTTCGGGATAAAAATATGTATGTAAAAATATGTATGTGTATGTCCTTCTCAGGGTCTGAAACTATCTTCTTACCAAATTTCATCTAAATTGGTCCAGTAGATCCAGAGATTACCCCCTACAACCTCACAAACTCACAAGCTTTACCTCATAACATTAGTATAGATAAACAAATAGATCACTTACTTTTCCAAAGGGGGACAAAGAAAATGGCGAATATTCCTAGGCATGAACAAGTCCGCTTGCACCTTACAAATGTCTAGGGCGTATTCCTGAAAGGCCCCTATAATATCTTCGTCTACGGGTGGCCCTATGCCTGGTACTGCATAAACTTGAATAACCTGTTCAAAATTAGAAAAATAAATTATTGGCAGTTATTGTGCTGCACTTGGCCAGCGTGATGGGCAATGGCCTGATTCTCCTCTTACTGTGAAGAGAAGTCCACGCTCAGCAGTGGGACATTAAAAAGGACCAAGTATATACATATATACATACATACATACATACATACATACATACATACATACATACATACATACATACATACATACATACATACATACATACATACATACATACATACATACATACATACATACATAATGTTTCTCTAGTAGGCTGTTTACGGAACTCACATCAGCATCAATTTACAATCATAATATTATGACCATATTTTTAATTAATCAATCAAAATACATAGGTATACATTATTGAAATGGACTTTAAACAAGCACTTTTGAATCGTCACTTTTAGACCGAGTGAAGCGGGTTTAAATCCCGGGTTCAAATCTCACAGCTATGATATTTTCATATGCGATTCATTTCCAACATGATTACCACTTGCCTTATGGTGAACGAAAACATCGTGATGAAACCTGCATATCTGAGAGGACCTAGCAAGTTTTCAAAAGACATGTGAAGTTTGACAACCCGCACTTGGCCAACGTGGTGGATTATGACCTGATCCCCTTCGTACTGAAGGAGGCTAGTGCCCAGCAGTGGGGCGTTAAAAAAAAGAAAAACAGGGCTGAATACCATATATGGCCTAAGAGCCTGTGAACGCCAGACCTTCGTCATTTTATAATAGCTGAAAGTTTGTCAGCGCATGCTCCCTACACAGATAAGAACGATGGACCATTATGAAGTTCAGGCTATGGTGGCTTTGGCAGGTACACGGTACTAAAGGTGTGTAAAATACCGATCTAAATTCGTCAAATAATAAAGTGTGATTTTTTGGTATTACCTTCAGAATATTATTAAAAATCACGTCATTCAATGCCAGACACTTTAACATCGTGGCAAACCCTTGCCCGACACCCTTTTCATGAAATCATAATTCTACTTACGTTATAGTATAAAAGCTGATTTTTATATATAATACTTGGGTAATCATTAGACGATTTATAAGACTGCTAGCATAGCATTTATTACACACCATCAAAAATAAAGTCAATTCTTAGCGTTTCAAATGTGGTGACCATTTGCAACATTTTCTTAGAAATGCCTCCCAACTTGTTTGGAACATTTTTCATGCGCTGACAAACTTTCAGCCATTATAAAATGACGAAGGTCTGGCGTTTACGGGCTCTTCCTCTAATATGTCCGTAAGGAATCTGCCGCCGGCTCGGAAGGCCGAACAGCCCAAGAGAAACTCAACAGTTGTTCTGTTAAAATAATATTTGTCTTCAATATAATAATTATCTAATAATCACATCCGGAACAGCGTGTTCTTCTTCTTCAATCTCCTCCACTTCGGGTACGATCACATCCATATTCTCATCCAAGAAGTTCTCGAGAATCTCTGTCACCATTGCTACCTCTTCTGGCTTTGCCTAAAATAGATTGAATTAAATACAAGTGCAAATATAGTGGAGTAGGGAGACTTAGGAGTACTTTGAATAAAATTACGTGTTTTATACACTCCACGGGGCTATACGCTTTTTTTACTTTTTTAACCCCCGACGCAAAAAGAGGGGTGTTATAAGTTTGATGTCGATGCTGTCTGTCTGACTGTCTGTGTGTGTGTGTGTGTCTGTCTGTACCATCGTAGCTCTCAAACGGATGGACCGATTTCGATGTGTTGATTTGTTTCGATTTGTAAACATATCTGCCCTAACATACACGGTCTAACATATTAAGGGTATTATACAATAAATGATTTTATAGAAGATGGAACACCTTGGGGATGAAATGATCGCCTCCAGGCTACTTCAACTTGATAGTGATATTGTAAATTATAATTTTACTTTAAAAAAAAGAAAACGAGTTAATATTAGTCCCGCTGAGTTTCTTTCGCCAGTTCTTCTCAGGTCTGAGGCTTCTTCTCTCCGAACTGGTAGTAGACTCATGACGTTCAGTAAAAAAATTGTAATAATTTAATGCTGAATAAAATATTTTGAATTTGAATATCCGGGTACGCATATCCGTGTTAAGTTAACATATGACGGCTAACATATCCGGGCTAAAATATCCGAGCTAACATATGAGGGTTAACATATTCCTGTTAACCTACTGTCTTGTAACATTACCTAACTTCCTTCTAGAAAAGTCAAGTAAAAATCCTATAAACGTACCTTCTTTCTTTTTAAATCGGGATCTGGTAGTATAGCTATCTGATCGTCTACGTAGTCCATTATCTCCTTTTCAATATTTGCGACGATAAATTCACCACTAGTATTCGACATTTGCCGGCCGGCAATCATACCTATGAAACAAAGTGTTAAAATTCTAATATATTACTTGAGGACGTTTATTTAAGTTTTCATTTATCCTTACTAAATAGTTAAAATTTTGATGACATTTTCATTTTCATCTCATCAAATATGTAATACCAAACTTTTCCGATTTTAACAAAATTTCTAAAAAGTCTGGTCCATGAAATCTAATATTTATTAAAAAAATCTCTACTTAGCTAACAAACGACTTTAACTTACAAAAAGCTGAAAAATACAGCAATATGATATTTACAGTAAACCAGCAGAGCCGGACACGCGTTGCTATGGCACACATATAAAAATTGTTAATTTTGCAATAAAAAAGTTCTAGTAAATCTTTTAAGTTCGAGCAAATTACACATTTTGAAAGAAATAAAAAAAGATCAGATAAGTTGTTTCGGAGTTAATTGCGGAAAAACATCGGAAATTTTATATATTACTAGCGACTCACCCTTGCTTCGCTCGGGTACGTCCCTAGGTACGTTTAACTTTTTTTGAGTATAACCCTAATTCTTTTTCTAGAATAAAAGTAGCCTATGTTACTCCCTATAACATCAGCTATCTTCCAGTGAATGCCCCGTCAAAATCAGTCCAGCCGTTTCAGAGATTATCCGGAACAAACAGACAGACAAAAAATTTAAAAATTGTGTTTTTTTTATAAGTACCGTATATAATTTTAAATGCATTTAATAAAATGCTGTTATTTTGACATTACAAACAGACACGTCAATTTCATTTATCTGAATAGAAGAAGGAGAAGAAGAAGATAAATAAAATCTAACCAAGATCGTAATTGGCTGATTTAAATCTATCCACAATGTTGGCTATTTCTTCAAACGTACGTTCCAAATCTTCTCGACGCTCTTCTCGACTTTCATAACACTAGTATAACAAAACTATTAATATGAGCTCTAAGGAAATACAGTAAAATTAATATAGAAAAAGATGTCTTTCTAACTGATTTCGACCACGGCGGCTAATATAATGTGATAGTGGATAAGTGCATTTTTAACCCCCGACGCAAAAACCTCGAGGAGTTATAAGTTTGATGTGTTTGTGTGTATGTGTGTGTGTATCTATCTGTGGCATCGTTGAGTCCCACACGTCGTGCGTAAATGCATTTCCCAACGTTAAAAAAAAAAAAAATCTGTGGCATCGTAGCTCCCGAACGGATGAACCGATTATGATTGTTTTCTTTTTGTTTGAAATGTTTGATGAAAATCGGTCCGAGATGGTCACAGGTTTTTTAAATTTTTAATTTAATTTTGTTATGTAAGTATTGTATTTTTTATTTTCTAGTTTCTAAATTCGACATTTTTATCAATTTTCAACGACACAAACGTCGAGAGCAGAGAACGCACTGACCGACCGTTGTAAAACGACGTCACAGCGACCGCGCCATCGCACACTAGAGCTAAACAATTAAATATCTCGAAAACTATAAGACATAATAAAAAAAATGCGGTATATTTTCATTTTTAATAGTGTATTCTAATATAAAAATCAAATAGTTGGTGATATTCTTCATTGTCCGTAGATCTACGAGTACTTTATAACGAAGTAAGTACATCGACTCAAAATCACTTTAAAAATAATAATTGCCAATATTGAGGGGCAGCAATATTTTTATGTTCATATCGGTCCACCCTTTAGGTATAAGCTATTCATTAAAAAATAATAATGAAAATCGTTTCACAAACAGATAAAGTGTAACATACATACGTACATATATAATAAAGTAATTTATGCACCTTCTCCCTTGCAAAGTCGGTCAAAATAGAATAATACACTATCGCCTGATTAAAATAAAAAGCCATTTGCAAGTCGTAATTTCTTTCACATGTAAGTCATAGGTCCATAAAATATAATAATAATATGTCTATAATGCACTATATATAATATACATATACCGGTTATATCTAATTAAGGTTTTTATGTACTTATATATTAATTGTATTGTCTTTTTTGTAGGTTTATTAAGGACTAGCGACTCACTCTCGCTTCGCTCGGGTTCGTCCCTAGGTTGATTCCCCATATAAACTTTCATCCCCATTTTCATCCCGTTAATGGATGATTTCCGGAATAAAAATCCTATGCCCTTCCCAGGGTCTCAAACTATCTACATACTAAATTTCATCTAAATCGTTGCAGTAGTTTTAAGAGTTTATTCGTTACAAACATACAAAAATACAAATCTTTCCTCTTTATAATAGTAGATTTAGTCCCTTTTTTACATTATATTTTAATATAGTTTAATGGTACCATATGGTACCATGGTGGTAGTATTTCACCAACCAATCTGTGTTCTCCATTCTACGTAAATTGGCGAAATTATCTGAATTGCCATGCTTTGAAAACATTACAAAGAAAATTGAGGTGAATTGAAGTCATGAAGTCATATGTGCCTATATATATATATATATATATATATATATATATATATATATATATATATAAATTATTTATCTATCCTGAAAAAAACAATGTAATGTGAAAGAAAATAATACTTTATCTACAAAAGCCTTAATTCTTTCAGCTTCAGAAATTTTCTCAGTTTCTTCTTCTTTAGCATGTTCTTCTGGACCTAAAATATCTTCTACTTCTTTTTGATCTTCTTTAGGTTCACCTAAGGTTTTGTTTTCAATTTAAAGTTTAATACTATCCTCGATTGTACTATGCAGGTTATTTTTGGTACTTCACAGATATAGAATGAACCGTAAGAGCGACTCCCTGGTTTTCTCATTAAAAAAATAAACACCAGACTAATTTACAAACAATTTTTACTAATATTATACCTGTCTGTCTATTGACTTTTAAGCTATTGAACAGGTTTTGATGAAATTTGCCAGAAACGTAGGGCAAAAGCTACCTTTAATTCCTCCTCGCTTCCTTGGCAACAATAAGTTTGTCATATCTATACTGCTAAAACTATACCTAATTTTTTACTAAATTTGGAAAAATACAATATGTATTAAATAATTAGGCAAATTCTATTTGTTGGAAATTTTTAAGCAGATTCCCTGAAGGTAATTTAAAGAACTAACTTCATTCGAAACATTAATATTTATAAAACAGCCAGTCAGTTACAAAAACTGCCACTAGGGAAATCAGATCACTGCTAAATTTCTACAATAATCTATCCAAGTAAAAGAAAGTATTTCAACAGTTTTTTTTTCTAAATTTTTAACTACATACTAGTGTCCCTTTTGGGATAAAAGGATAGGTTAAATTAAGGATAGGATACTACTTATTAATGTGAGAATTTTTCCAGAATCGGATCAGTTAATTTAGAATTTAACTACATACAAAAATAAAATAAAAATTACACCCTACGCCATTTTGTTGCGATTTAAAAGACGAACAATACAACTATAAACAACACATCAACAGATAAAAATATTAGAAAATAAAATGTATAATGTAACCGTAAATCTCGTATGGTATTTCATTATCATCTTCATCCGTCACTATAATTTCTATCTGTTTCTTTTTCTCCGTTTTCTCTTCTTTTTGTTGTGTTACACCTAAATTTATACATTTTTAAACATAGAGTAGAGAAGTTTATTTCAACATTAATACTAATTTTATTATGTTATAATTAATCTATCCTTAAATAATATTCTCCCGAGCGATCGCGGCCACGCCGGCCAATCTTATGGAGAGTGGAGACTAGCCATCTGCGCAGGAGATATTATAGTGCAGCGCGTATGAGAGAGAGCGCAGACACAACGTGTACTCTATTCCTGTCACTCTCACACACCGGTGGGACGACACGAGACACTCGCGGTGAGAGTGTCGGCGCAGGATTGACGCGACACGTGCTCTGTCTCGGCACGGGGGTGACACACCGCCAACTTCCCAACTCCGGGCTGTTACTGAGGCTTACAATATCTAAACTTGGCCCGGCCCGGAACTCGAACCCAGGACCTTTGGATGTGCAGTCGTACATGCTAACCACTAGACCACCGAGGCAGTTAGCATTAAATAAAGAAGTTATAAACAATAACTGAATTTTATTTATTGAATTCTATTGGTAGTGGAATGATTAGTATTTATGATGTTGGAGTATAAATATAAATTATTTATATTTAAACTAAAAAGACCGTGTTTTAGTTTAAAAATAAATAGTTTATGTAAGTTTTATTTTATGTTATGAATATTTGTTACGTTATCGTTGAATAATAAGTAACCATAAGTGAAAAATTTTAAGCTAGAATAATTAATATACATATAAAAGTATTTTAAGAAAAACTCACCTGACATTTCTTGCTTTGATGCAATCTTTCCAGCGCTCAACTCTTTCAACTTTTTCTGAAAAAAATATTCAACTACGATTATTACATAAATTATACTTGTTATATACTCTTAAAATGGAAATATAATGTTTATAATTCGTTCCCTTTTTTATTAATTTAATTCAAAGCCCTAAATTTTCAATGATAAAAACTCTTTCATTTTGAAAAAGACATACATACACACAAACCCAAAATTTACATGGCCAATGAAAAATTAGTCGCTGTCGGGACTCGAACCTACGACCTTTAAAGAACGTAAAGACATACTTAACAATCGATTAAAATAATGTTATTAAAGAACTAACGTCAACATCTTCACTTGGGGCAGCTCTACCTAGAAAAATATTTTTGTTACTCGCAATACTTGCTTTAAATTAAACTACTTTATAAGTTCAGACTTTTCAGACAAGTTTTCGAAAGACATGTGAAGTCCGCCAACCTGCACATGGCCAGCGTGGTGGACTATGGCCTGATCCCCCTCGTATTGAAGGGAGGCCCACGCCCAGCAGTGGGACATTAAAAAGGGCTGAATACACATAAGCTCAGACTAAAGAATTATACAGATGGAGTCCACCAAACAAAATGTCAAAGTCAAAAATAGTAGCGTGATTTGCTGTTTATGCTACTACTCATGATTTTGCCAAACGGATTGTTTAATTTTTTTAAGGAATAAGGGAAATTATAAATAGGTATTCGATAATTTACAATTTTAAGAAGAAAATATGAATTAAAAAAATGCTATATTCTTTTGAATTTTTAGGTTTTAAAAAGAGATAGCTTAATACTACCTTTTATATATATATATATATATATATATATATATATATATAATATTAATAAAATCCGATTGCTATTTTATTAATTAAAATCCATTTACTTATAACTTATCTATACTATTTTAAATCATTATTGTTTGGCTTCATGTTTAGTTCTATGACACTGTTTATATTATTCCTTATTATAATATATATGTATATTTATTTACCTATATAAAACATGATTAATACAAAATAATAATAACAAACGTGTGTGTGTACTTATGTACGTACGTAAGAAGTTATACTTCTTTGACGTAACAAAACAAAAATAGCTAAAGATTTTATCTCGTATGTGACAACTCTCTGTTTGTAAAACGAATGTAGCTAACATCAAAATGTCGCTTTTTGGCTAGAAGTATAACGTCAAAAATTTAATACTTTTGATCTGGCAAGCAGATGGACGAAGAACTATCGCCGGCGGTCTTTCCGAACCGCTACGACCTGGCCACCTTCAAGAAGAGAGCGTATTCCTTCCTTAAAGGCCGGCAACGCATCTGCAAGCCCTGCGGTGTCGCAGATGTCCATGGGCGGCGGTGATCACTTTCCATCAGGTGAACCTCCTGCCCGTTTGCCCCCTTAGTCCCATAAAAAAAAAACGACCTTACTCCGTAGAGACATAATTCACAATTATCAAATCGTTTTTGAAGATATACTTCTTTTGGCACGTTATGAAAAAAAAGATAAGTGATTTTTTTAGCGACAGATTTAAACTACAGTATGAAGTTAGTCGTTATTGGCTACAGTGTGAAGTTAGTCGTTAAATCTTGTTTTAGTATAGTGTGATGTCTATAATCGAGATATTTATTCCGGTATTTCTATAGACAATACTTAATGAGCGAAACACAATAAGCAAAGTGACGTCATTGTAAATCCAATATGGCGGACTGTTTTTTATGCACCCAAATAATATGGAATCAAATAAAAGGCTTTGCTGAGAAGAATACGGATAACAAAATATTAAAAAAAAGTTAAAACATTAAAAAAAACTTTTGCTTAAATTCTCTAAAAAAAAGTATAACTCCTTATATGCGAACTTAAGTACACACGCACATTTTTTTTCTTTCTATTCTATATAAATATTTATATAAATAAATTATTATAGGTAACTAACTGCTACTTATACGAGTATATTTACGTACTCAAAGATCAATAACTCACTGGATATGTTACCACTTACTGCCGTCATAAAAAAGAAGGCCAAACTTTGTCAAAGTTGCTTTCGAGATATTTGAAGTTTTCTCTTAGTTTTGACGTAGTTACGGTGAAAATGGTTATGGTATCTCCGGGTTGATAAGACTTAGAGCTTTATGAGTAAGATTATCAAGTAGCATATGTTTGCTGATCCCGAATCTGCATTTGGGGCATTTCACGCCAACTCGGACGGTTTAAAAAAAAATATTTTTGACTTTCTTATTATTTTGGTATTTTTATTACCTTCCAAAAGAGGCTTTCTGGTAAATTTTGAGATTTTTTGGATCATTGATTTAAGTCACTTTTGACCAAATTGTTAGTTAGGACCTTCTTTATTATAACGGCAGATTAGCTACCACTATCTTAAAAACTCGCAAAAATTCATAACATAGAAATAAATTTTAATAATGTTTTAGATATAGGTACCTGCCAAATACAAATTACATCAAGAAAATGCTACTCAATTTTTCTCACTACACAACAAATCTACATAACTTTTACTGAACATACAGACAGACATATTCTTAACCTTTTCTCTCTCTCATATAATTCTCCCTCTCTATCTGCCCCGCTCTCTCTACAGAGGGAGATCGTTGTATTTTGCCAATAACTGGCATATTGAGTTTATCGCTCAGTCTAGCAGAATGAGATACTAAATCGTTAATAAGTGCTAATTTTTGTACGTTGCCATCTTGCCAGTATTCGTCTAAAGAGGACTGAAAGTAAATGATTAATTTCTTTTTTTTTTTTTTCCAATCCTTTAAAGTTATTAAGTCAGTAGTAGCCCAGTGGTAACGCGCTCGCTTTGGAATCTGAGTGAAGCGGGTTCAAATCTCGGGTCTCGCACTTCTGATATTCTCACGTGCGAATCATTTCTAACATGATTCCAATATTTTACGATAAAGGAACACATCGTAAGGAAACCTAATATCTGAGAGAACCTAGCAAGTTTTCGAAAGACATGTGAAGTCCACCCGCACTCGTCCAGTGTGGTGGACTATGGCCTGATCCCCCTCTTATTGAAGGGAGGCCTACGCCCAGCACTGGGACGTTAAAAAGGGCTGAATATAATGCTATTAATTTATAAAGATTCCGTCTTAATGTTACAAATATGGCACTAACACTGTTTGATTATAAGCAGTAATCGTATGAGCTTGTGATATTACAAAGATTATTTAAATTTTGTATAAACCAACTTATAATCTATACGTGTACTTTCATCCAAATCCGTGCAGGATTTTAAGCGTGAAACAGTGGAAAAAATAGCGTAATACACTATAAAGTATAAAATGAACAGTATTTGAAAAGAAAGTTATTCTCACCTCTGATTCAACTTGCTCCTCAGTCACTTGTGTTTGTTCTTCCTCCAAAACAGATTCAGTTCTAGGGGTTTCCCCTGAAATTATACATAATGCCATTCTGACCAATTTTAGCCACGGCCACCAATCTCACTGAGACTAGCTGTGCAGAAGATATTACAGTGTGGCCGTCGTTAAAAAAAGTATCCACTAGATACACGATCCCATGCACAAGTTCTCCTAAATCTGTCACCTATTGTGTTTATTTATTTATTTATTTATTATCAGTTGGGAAACAAACAGCTTTTATAATACAGAAATATGTAAATACAATCTATTCTTCTCATCAGCCAATAAAGTTTCCACTTATAAGTAAACATGGAGTGAAAAAAAAATACAAACTATTCGTAAAATAAACTAAACATAATCTTTGTGTATAGAGAGGGTTGCAAAATACATATTATATCAAGGATGATCGAGTTTATGCTTAATGCTTTGAGAAAATTTGTTGATATTACTATCAAATATGTCAATTTGGTTATAATAGGTATTTATTCTAGTTGAAATAAATATACAACAATGTAAATTGAACCTTAAATGTAATGATGTTATTGTTAATAACGTTGTATTCACAAAAAAGATTAAAAGTACGCTCAAATGTTCAAATGAGCGCTAATTCGATGAGGACATTTTTTGTCCTTGACTATGTATCTAGTACTTTTTTAATCGATGAGTTTAGCGCGTGTACGCGCACGCACAAATGCACTCTATATTCCTGTCACTCTCTAACTCTGATGGAAAGACAATTCCACTCGACCGGGGAGTGATCACTCAGAGAGAGAGAGAGAGAGAGAGAGAAAGAACGTTTGGCTCAGTTTGTAGTGACCCTACTTGGTGTGCCGGCGGTTGCATATTCGAGTCCCGCTTGGGGCATTCATTTATGTGATGAGCACGAATGCTTGTACTCCAGTTATGGGTGTTTATATTTTTAATATGTATGTATTCAAAGTTATATATGTGTAGTGTATCAACTATCTGATATTCATAACACAAGCCTGCACAAGCTTACCATGGAACTAGATTGTACTGTGTAAAAAAAAAACGAGATTAAAACATCGCCAAGTTCCCAATTCCGGGCTGTGACTGAGATTATCTTAAAAGAAAACTCCGAAACAAACTTGGGACTCGAACCCAGGACTTCCTGATCTATAGCCGTAAGTACCACGACCATCGAGGCAGTTTTATTCCTATATAGCACATAACTTGTAATGATGATGTTCTCCTGGCCGATTCCGGCCACGGCGGCCAATCTCATTGAGACTAGCCAACTGTGCAGGAGATATTATACCTAGTGCACAAGTGTACGCGCAGACACAACGTGCACTCTCTGTTCCTGTCACTCTCATACTCTGGTGGGACGACACGAGACACGACCAGTGAGAGTTAAGCCGCAGGACCGACGGCTTGACGTGCTCTCCGAGGCACGGGGGTGAAACACCGCCAACTTCCTAACTTCGGGCTGCTACTGAGACTTAATATACAGAAATATTCAATAACTAAACTTGACCCAACCCGGGACTCAAACCCAGGACCTTCGAGTGCGCAGCCGTACATGCTAGCCACTACACCACCGAGGCAGTTAAAGCACTTGTAATATTTATGTATATTATTGTTATAATTCTTCACTGTATATTACAATTAAATTAAACTGTGTTTATTTGGACTAATTTTAGAAATTACTGTACGGATTTTCATACGTTTTCCACCAGTAGAAAGAGGATTTTTCTAGGAAAGATATAAGCTGGCATTTATGAATATATTTCGAAAATAAGCTACGGGATATTTTTGAATTAAATCGGATAATATCGTTTCTCTAAGAAGTTCCGTAACATCCTAAATTCGAAGGGTACCACCTATCTTAGAACCTTAAAGGTGTTAATTTGTATTTAAGTTTATATGAGAACTTTAAATTTTTAAATCTAAGATTTCACAAAATTTCCATATTCACTGAGATATCGCGTAACATATATACAAACATACACTCGAATTAAATACCTCCTTTTTTGTTGTCAGTCTAAAATGGTCCAATTTTAAGCCATTACGATAAAAAATTGTCCAATCCACACTTGAAATAATAGCATTATTTAGCAGTCATTTTTCATTGCTAATAATAATAATCTATATAAAGATTCGAGAGTTGAGAAGAGGAAAGATTTTTTTGTTGTTTGTACCGTAAAAGCTCCGAAACTTCTGAACCGATTTAGATGAGTAAGAAGATAGTTTGAGACTCTGGAAAGGACATAGTAGTTTTTATCCCGGAAATCATTTCATAAGGGGGTGAAAATGGGGATGAAAGTTTGTAAGGGGAAGCAATCTAATATAGCTAGTTCGATATACGCATGCAAAAGTTCTTGGCCCAAAAAATATATTTTTTCTTTAGGTGTTTGTTTTTTATGCGTACCTCTACCATATAAGCTTAGGGAAACACCCGACCGAAGCGATGGCATGTCGTTAGTTCCAAATATAAACTTACCCTCCCTATATCCATTTAAATATTTCACATCACTAGACGCGTCCATGGTAGCCAACAGCTTGTACATAGTAAGGAAATCCCATACAGGTATAGCCGCTGAACCCCCATCAGGTTCTTTTGTGAGGGTTTCACAGAGAAGGATCATGGTGTGAGTGAGACTCTGGAATGTTTATGAAATCCAATTCAAAAAAATCTTGGTCAAGTGCGAGTCGTCTGGAGAGTGAAGAGTTCCGTACATTTTAATATCCATATGTATATTAAGGACTTGGGGTTTTCGTTATTTTATTCAATGTTAAGTATGACTGAAGCTATATATTCTTTTACTTTTTTATTGTTTTTCTCAGTCGTTTCGAACGTATGTACATGATCAACTTTACTAAATAAAATATTCATTTTTAATTTAAAAACAATATTGTGAGTATAAAAAAATAAATTGTCATGTGATTTTACTTAGCTTTACCTCCAAATTCAGTCATCAGAAGTCAGTAAATAATTATTTACACTATATCCATGTCTAGCAATTTCCATTACGTCTTCTTCCTCATTTTTTTAAAAGAACTATTTAGTCGTAACTAATAATAAGCAATATTTAAAATAAATATATAAAATTAATAATATACCAACAACACTCCGGTCAGGTTCCTTCCTTTAGGTTTTAAAGGTTAGCTCAGAGATGAGATTTTAAATTGTTTTAATAAGATTTTTCAAAAAATATTTAATATACAAATTCGGCTCAGTTAGAATTTTATTAGAGAAATAGGACAAAAATCAGTCTAATCACATAAATCTTTAAAAGTGATCTCTATTAACAACTTATAACAACAAAAAAAGGTTTTACAGAAGAAAACAAAAAAAATACATATATGAATAAATACATACATACATACCGACAAGGAAGGATTATACATATAACATATTCTATTACCTTCGTCAACAAACCTCCCGCGACCGCTATGAAATGTAGAAAGGGTACAGTGTCTTCCCTCATGTAGACTTCACATAAACAGAAGATCCTATTTAATTCGTGAGGATCGAGACAAAACCCCTGCCATGCTGTACGGACAGCGGATAGTGGTATATCCTTTAAACCGGATAGCTGGAACAAATTGACAAATTAATCAAAAGACCGTTATTAGGATGCATGTTCGCTTTAGAAGTAGACTGAAGCGGTTTTATATTCCGGAAATATGTTAGGTTTTCATGTAAATCCAGAGTCGGACTTAAAGAGAGAACTAGAAACTACACACTAAAAATATCTTAGTGTAATTTAACAAACTAAAAAAACATAAAATAAAATATATAAGTATATTTTTTTGTATTTTAATTGGTTATTTTGTAAGGGGCATGCAGTCTTTAATTCGGTAAGACCACCATAATTTTATATCCAGCTCTGTGCAAATCTCATTTTCTACACTTGAATATACAACGAAATAAAGGAGAGTGATTTTGACATTTCTTTATATATTTTGGTGATAAAGTTTCAGCATTGTTTATAATTTCAAAGACACAAGAAGTAAAAAAAAATAATTAAAAAAAAAATGTGCAATTCAAAAAACAGAATGACCGCCTTATACAACTCACCTGGTTGGCTATAACCTTCAAGCAACCCCTAGTTAAACCACCCTCGGTTTTATAAATTGGGTATTCCAGTCTTAGTTTTACTGGCGGGGGTCGATTCTGTGATAGCGCTGAAAAGTACTCGAAAGACCAACGTAGAAGATCATACGGCTGTGTTTTGATGGCGGCTAAAATAGTGGTATAATTCGTATTATTAATATTATAAATGTGAAAGTTTGTATGTATGTATGTTTGTTACTCTTTCACGCCAGAACGGCTGAACGGATCTGGATGAAATTTGGCACAGAAATAGGTTATAGTCTGATGACTACTTTAGATAGACTACTTTTTATCCCGGAAAAATATTCGGTTCCCGAGGGATAGATTTGTTTTTGTTTTTCTAGTGGCAAGCGCGAGCAAAACGAGGTTGAACCGATAGTATTAAATATTTACTTTTAATACTATTAAACATAATTTCAAATTTATCTTAGTCCATATTAAATACATTGAACAAGAGCACAATATCCGACTAGTAAATATTATAAATGCGAAACTTTGTATGTGTGTATGTTTGTTTCTCCTTAACGTTAAAACGGCTGAACAGATTTTGATGAAATTTGCATACAGATAGACTTTGACATAGACTTACATTAACATAGTGTACTGTTAGGTCTTTAGGACGCACCCGAACGAAGCGAGTGTAAGCCGCTGATAATACATAAAAAATATGAAGTTTGATAATTTAAAAAAAAACATGTTATCAGGACACGATGAGATATCTCATCTGGGCGGTTAGGATAATTATTTACACAATGGCCGGCACTGTTTGCGGTGACTTTAACGGTCTTACGATATGTGAATGAAAAATCTTTGTAAGCAAGAGTCTCACAGTCCCCTGTCCGTTGATGGTCGGCAGTCCCTATGATGAGTTGCCATAGTGATATCAAAAACAAAAACGGACAGGATATGTTTGTCAATTTTAATTAAAATATGCCTAAAGGTTTACGTGTAATTGAGTAACAAACATCCAAACATCTTAATATATATCGGATGAAACTCACTAAGTATATAGCTTACCTTTACAATATCTTTTTAAAATGTAAGGAAATTTTGGTGGAACAACGATTTGTTGGGAACTGTACATCTGCTCTATTAATTCCGGCATTTTGGCGTTTTTTTTACCTTAAACAAATAGGTTTTATCTCAAAAGAGTGAAAGATATATATACATATAATAAAATTGTAACTAAGCTGAATCTGTACATTAAATATTTTTTGAAAAATCTTATTGAAATAGACATTATTATCGATACAGAGGCTAAATCTATAGTTTTTAGAATTTTTGTCTGTCTATCTGTTACCGCATCACGGAAAAATCACTGGAGGGATTTTGATGAAATTTGGTATGGTGATAACTGGTTATCCGGGTCAACATATAGGATACTTTTTATCGCGGGAAAATATCTCATTTTTGAGAAAAAAAGAAAAACTGCATTGTAAGAGTATATGTAAAACCTAAGAATTTGGTTTTTGGTCATCTAAACGCGGGCGGAGCCGCGGGAAATGCTAGTTACATTATGAAGATAAATTACCATTTAATATAATATTTTTTATTTAAAAATAAATAATTTTCAAACTTCACATATCATGGGTAAGAGACTTAAATGATGGAGATCTAATACAAAAATAGACATATACATATAAAATTTCATATTAGATTTTATAAAAAAAACTTTTAAATGATTTATTCAATAAAAATATTATTATCTACATAAATATTGCAAAAAGCTTACCGCCCGCGTGCAAGGAATCGAACGTTTGTCAAATCAGTAACCATAGCAACGACGGAATCTATGAAATTCTATAGGCATAGAACACATCGTCTTTCATGTATCTATACATATAATAAAATTGTAACTAAGCCGAATCTGTACATAAAATATTTTTTGGAAAATCTTATTGAAATAAACATTATTATCGATACAGAAGCCGAATCTATAGTTTTTAGATTTTTTGTCTGTCTGTCTGTTACCGCATCACAGAAAAACCACTAGAGGGATTTTAATGAAATTTGGTATGGTGATAGATGGTTACCCGGGTTAATATATAGGATACTTTTTACTGCGGGAAAATAGCTCATTTCTGAGAAATCTATACTAAACCTAAAAACGTAAGTAGGGACGAACCCGAGCGGAGCGTGGGTAAATCGCTAGTCTAAAATATAAATAATATCGATTTTACTTTAGGTACAGGGACTGTAATTTAATAATTTAATTTATGTATATCATCCCTAAAACCTCAGACTAATTAATAATATAGACAGTGTCATACAACTAAACATGAAGCCAAACAATATTAAACAAAAAATTAAAAAGTACTGAACCGATTTGAATAAAATTTTGTGTAGTAATAATAAGTAAACTTTTTAGTTGTCAATATTTAGGATAAACATTACTAAAGGCAAATCTTCCATTCCCATGGCAAAACACAATAACTGGTTCTGTCGAGTGAGTCATACTTGTTGCATAAACCTAAACCTTAAGAGATACATCAAAACAACGTACTAGAAAATTGTAGGTCTATCTATTAAGATACGCCCGTAATAACTATTTTTATGTACATACTAGCGACTCCCCCTCGCTCCGCTCGGGTTTGTCCCTAGCTTGCTTCCCAATACAAACGTTCATCCCCATTTTCATCCCCTGAAGGGATAATTTCCAGGAGAAAAAGTATCCTATGTCCTTCCAAGGGTCTCAAACTATCTTCTTACCAAACTTCATCCAAATCGGTTCAGTGGATCTAGAGATTACCCCCTACAACGTGTCACAAACTAATAAACTAACAATCTCACAAACTCACAAACTTTACCTCTTTATAATAATTATTAAGGAAGTATAGATTTAAACATAGATCTAAGGACGCACAACCATAGAAAAGAAAAAGTATAGAGGACGTATGTGCGTCAAATACGCACTAGATGGCGTTACCAGTATCTGCTTGTATATGGACATTAGTAAAAGTTTATGTCCTGAACGTTTCAATAATAAACCCATCATATTAAAGAAATATTTTTAATTTCTTTTTTTTTGCTTAGGAGCTATTGACGAGCGTTAGTGTAATTAATTAAAAAAAGTTGGTACCAGTTTTTTTTAGGAAATGTATAATAATATTATGGGATTTCGAGCACAGGATGAACCCTAGATTAAATAAAACCTATTTCTTTAACATTTAAGTTAAATAATAATAATTCTCAGTTAATTAGAATCTATACTAATATTATAAAGAGGTTGAGTTTGTGAGTTTTTGAGGTTGTGAGTTTGTGACGTTGTAGGTAGCAATCTCTGGATCCACTGAACCGATTTAGATGAAAGGTAAGAAGATAGTTTGAGACCCTGAAAAGGACATAGGATACTTTTATTCCGGAACTCATCCCTTAAGGGGGTGAAAATGGGGATGAAATTTTGTATGGGGAATCAACCTAGGGTAGAACCCGAGCGAAGCGAGGTGAGTCACTAGTGTAATATGTATAATCATGAGCGGTGTCAAAATTATTTCCAGGGCGCTGCATCTGCTTGTTCGCATTAAACTACTAATCTTTAAATACTATAATTTATAACTTTATAATTTTTATTCATATCTTATTTATCGTTTTTTCTTTGAATATATGAAAATTTAAATGGGGATTTTACTGATATAATTTTATCTCCTTACATATTTTCCTTCACGGTAGGCGGGTGCAAGTGCATCGTCTTGCACTCCTCCCCCGGCCACGAATATAAAGCAATTTTAAAGCATTTCTATCTAAAAGTCATATATAATTTAAATTCCATTTTGATTCAATAACATTTAAAATTATCATTATATTTTCGGTAAAATAAAAATCATCAAAAAAGAGAAGTAATAAATAATAATAAAAGTAACATAAGTAATATGTCGCAGGTAGATTGCGTAATTTGTCATTATACAAACGGCAACGTGTGTTTGTTTATTAAATGCTGAAGCGAAAATGTATAGTTTTTATATGTATGAGTATTCGGGCCTTTTTTTAACATCCCACTGCTGGGCATGGGTCTCCCTTTAAAACGAGGGATCATTTCCCACCACGATGGCCAAGTGCGATTGGTGAACGTCACATGTCTTTCGAAACGTTGTTAAGTTCTCTCTGCAGATATGCAGGTTTCCTCACGATGTTTTCCTTCACCGTAAGGCAAGTGGTAATCATGTTGATTCCCACAAGAGAATCAGAGATGCAAGACCCGAGATTTGAACCCACTTCATTCGGTTTCCCAAGCGAGCGTGCTAACAGTGGTCTACCACTGCTTTTTTCATATGTATATTCATTTTATATTCATGGTCTAGAATCTAGATGGTGTAGTCTCAATAGTGTAAAAATTAATGGATGGGGTGATCGAAGAAGTTACTAGCACAGATTGTGTAAGTGATACTTTCTGACTCGAATAATTATATAGTTATTCTTACACGACGCTGTTTCTGGCGAAATTATTAAATTAAAAAGTCAATTCTTTGAACTGATATAAAAATTTTCGGATCAACGTATAGTCCCAGATTTGTACAGGTATAGGTAATCCGTTTGTTACATGACTCGTAATTATTACTTAGTATTATATGATCTTTGCTCGTAATAAAAGCGCGTTTATAAAAATTAAATTGTTATTTGAAGAAAGCAAATAAACCTCAAAAGTAAATAGTGACCTACATGAAAATGAAAATATATTTTCATGTAGGTAGGTATATGTAATACGGAAATATATATGAAATATTTTCTAAGCATTTAGTTTTATTAATATCTTGAAATTAATGAAAGATAGCCAATGTAATAGCCACATAGCTATATTTCGTATAACACTTGCTCCACCATAATCACGTTATCAGTAAAACAACATTAAAATTCCAACGGAATTGACCAAATAAAAAATGTAATGGTTAGTTTCATTCATATAACTAATCTGTTCGTGTAATATTTTGTTTTACTTACCATTTTCAAAAAATAATAAACATATAATCATTCACAATAATTTGTTGAAATAATTATTTTACACAATATGAATTTATTTTGTACGCATGTAGTTTGAGATATTATTATTAAGTCCTAATTTTTATTTTTATCATAATACACATATATTGAGATTAAACTAAATAAATAAATTAACTTTATTTATTACATAAATAATGTTTATAAAATTTAATTTATTTTTTTAGTTTATGATTTATTTTATTTTAATACATGTGTAATAGAATGCATTTTATAGGTAATAAATACTTCATAATATAAAAAAATCTATTTCCCGCCTTTTTCTTCAACAAACGCCATCTATGCGCTCATACTGGAACTACTTTAGCAAAATCAATCACGTGGTCTCTTAAAACATTAAAACCTGTTTGGAGAGGTGACGTTTCGCGTATGTTTTTATGGAGCTTTTACTGTCCTAATCCGTGTTAGTGTTTATATTACACGAATTATTAATATTTTGACGAGAATTAACGTGAATTTGTGGATTATAATATTGAATACGTATTATTTGAACTCCTGTGAATTTGTGATTATAATTTTTAAATTAATTAACAGTGCTTGTTTAAAAGGAAATGTGATAGAGTTTAACTAAATATGTTTTGTGCTATGATCGCTTATTATCGTGGTTAAGAAATGGGTGACAGATTGAAGCACCGATTTAAAGTGAGAGATAAAACATTTTGTTTTTATAAAGAATGGATTTGATCTCCGGTTTATCGCCTCTGAGTAAGTAATTTAAAGCCTATATATATTATAAAAGCTTCATTTATCAGAATACGACAACTTAATGTTTGTATTAACTTTATTTAAAAAATAATGTTATTTAATCGCAATAAAAAAAATATTTCAATTATTTTTGAGTCATAAATATTATACTCACTACAAATTATACGCCATTGTTTATATTCGTAAATAATATACCGGGAACTGACCTATTTTAAAAGATTAAAAACAAAAGTGAACTGAAAATGAGCAATTGCTCAAAAATTCCAACTATTCACCGTGATAAGGTCATTTCTCACGATCTTTTGTCTCTCGCTTATGTAAATTTTGTAACACAAAGCCCCATTATTTACTTTGAAAGTATTTTTATAGGTTGATATACTGTTGTTGTTGTTTTGTTCGATTTAGTTT